ACGTTGCGACATAAAAAAACGCACGTTACCTCTTTTAGCCCGCCTCCGGTCGCTAAAATGTCCCGCCACCTCTCACCATGGAGAGCAGGCCGCAGAGGATGATGACCGCCTTCTGCCAGTTGCCCACGCCGGACCAGCTGCCGCAGCCGGTGATCCGTACCCCTCCCCAGCCGCGCCGGTGGTGGCCGTACCGCGACATTGAGTACCGGGTACCGTACTTCCCAGTCCGTACCCCACACAGCTCGCACAGACCCCACACCGCGCAGCCGACCGGCCGAGACACACTGGCGGCCCGGGCCGGGCGCGGTCGAGCGGGTGTCAGCGCCCCAGGCGGCTACTCAGCTAGCGGCGCTGCTCCCGTGACCTCGGTTAGGTCAAACGCCAGCCGACCCGCGTCACCGGGTGGTGGGCTGTATGAGCACCATAGAATCTATGTAAACGTAAATGCACGCAGTTTTGTTTGACCGTCTGAACTTGCGAGTTTCACGGAAACTTCAGTCGCAAATGAATAGATAGTGAGGTGCGTTGTTTTGACGTTACGAAGTTCGTACGGTATAATCACGATTGCATCAAAACGTCCATCCCAAAGAGGCAAACAGCGGCGTCATTACCAGTGGCGGCGGAAGGTAATTTTGGATGGGGGTGCAAAGTTTTCTCAAGGGGCCCCTCTGGAAGTTTTGGGCCCCCTTCAGTTTTTTTAGTGATTATTATTGACTTATGAAAAACGAAGATTTTGGAAAACTATCCCCATACACAAAGTTCTGTAAAAGGTTTGAAATTGCAGTGTACCTACCTGTCTCAAAGAATGAAAGCATAAAGAAGCAACTGCAGCTAGTTTTGTATCGGCTAATCTTTTACAGGGTGGACCAAAAAGGATGGAAACATTTTGAACTCGCATAAAGTATGTGTTATTGCATGCAGGTGACTGAAAATGATACCAAACGAGAGAACATTTCGTGGAAATTCATAATGACATCTCTCTCATCTGCTTTCTCTCGTTTTCCTTCTCTCACAGCAAATGTTCGAAGAGGCCATCTTTGCGAGACAGGCAAAGAGCGGCCCGCCTGCCGGCTGACGCGATAGCCCGATGACACATGTCCTCTGGTATGACTCGCACAGCCTTGGTGGTCACTCTCTTCAGATAACAGAGGCCTACATAACCTTCCTTGTAGACCTGACCCTTGAGATGACTCCACAGGAAAGGAATCCATAGGTCAGATGAAAAGACAGACAGGCCAGTTCCACTTCGGCTCGAGGATGGGAGCGACAACACCGTGGCTGACGACCAAAAGCGCTACCAAGCGACGCTAAAGAAGTTGTTGAAGTGAGCCCAAACGAAGTATGGCAGTCTCATGGACCTCATGTGATTCCAGCCAGACGGTGCGCCTCCTCACATCGCGAAACAACGCTCAAGTGGAGCGAGAACCACTTTGGTGACCGGCTGATATCCCGCAGTGCCTGTCGGAACTGGCCTGTCTGATCACCTGACCTGACCCCGATGGATTTTTTCCTGTGGGGTCATCTCAAGGCCAGGTTTACAAGGAAGGTTCTAAAGGCATCTGTTACCTGAAGAGAGTGATCACCAAGGCTGTACGAGCCAAACAAGCGGACATGTGTCATCGGGCTATCGCGTCAGCAGCCAGGCGGGCCGCTCTTTGCCTGTCTCGCAAAAGTGGCCTCTTCGAACATTTGCTGTGGGAGACTGAAAACGAGAGAAAGCAGATGAGAGAGATGTCATTATGAATTTCCACGAAATGTACTCTCGTTTGGTATCATTTTCAGTCACCTGCATGCAATAACACATTTTATGCGAGTTCAAAATGTTTCCATCCTTTTTGGTCCACCCTGTAGTCTAGCCACCACCCGCAGCGTCTCAAACCACTTTTCTGGATCCGCAGTGGACCATTGAGGGCCCTACGAGACCGTTCCAAGAAGACCGTGTTTAGAAGCCCCTTGGAAACCGACCACATAGAGACTCCTCCAGAGATCTACATACATGACTCCCCAGATTGAATGAGCCCTCCGATCAGGGTCGGTCACTTGAAAGTTGCTGAAAGGTTTCAGAAGGCAGTATAGGCTCGAAAGTCTTTAAGGGCTCTCAGAAACCGGCATCGGACCCCCAAAAAGCTTGTATGGAGGCCCTCCAAAGCCGGGATGGAGGCCACAGGAGCCGATGTTTAGCCTAAAGAGCCGGTATGGAAGACTGAATAGAGGAAAGGGGTCTCAGTGGGGTCTTCAGGGGCAAGCGTTTGAGCCCCAAAAGTATGTGTGGGGTCTTAGAGGCAGGTAGACCCCTGGGGTATGCATGGGGTCCCAGGAGCTTGCGTGTGAGCCCTAATATTCGGCTGGCGGCTACTAGAACCAGCATGGGGATTCTTAGAAGATGCTTAGACCCACATTTCATGGGTCATGAGTCCCAAGAGTCGATGTAAGGGCCATAAAAGCCGGTGTAGGGCCCATGGCCCCATAAGTTCCGACATTGAGACTCTCAGAGGCCGGCGACGGGGCACCAAGAGCAGATAAAGTGCCTCAACAAGCCGACATGGGGCCTGAGAATCAGTGTGGAATTCCAGGAGCCTGCGTGAGCTCTCGGAGACCTTCGTATTTCGTAAGGTCCACAAAGGTCGTTGGATCCTCTGAATCTGAACTCTGCGGGACCCTCAGAGCCCAGCATGTCTCCTGGCACCTGCCTGCGTTGAGTTGAGACCCTCCGACGCCGTCGTAAGGTTCTTCAGAGGCCAGCGCTGGCCCTTGAAGCCTTCGTTAGGCCCTCGAAGCCGTCAAGAGGGCCCTCAGAGGTCAGCATGGCCCCTGGAGCCTGCCTGCGTCGAGGCCCTCAGAGGCCGTCGTGGGGCCCTTAGACGCCAGTGTGGGCCTTTGGAGCTTGCGTTGGGTCTTAGAGACCATCGTGAGGGCCCAGAGAGGTCGTCGTCAGGGCCCAGCCCGTCAGGGACCGTCCTGGGGTCCTCAGAAGTTGTTGTGAGGGCCCTTAGAAGCCTTCGAGAGGGTCATCAGAGGTCGTCATGAGGGTCCTTGGCCATATTGAGGGTCTTCATGGGCCCTCAGATACCTTTGCAGGGCTCTCAGAGGCCTTGGTAAGACCGCTAGAGGCCATCTTTGTTACGGTTCTCAATAGATTGTTGCAGAGCCCTCAGATGCCAGCATAGCTCCTGCAGCCTGGTTGTGTTGGGGCCCTCAGAGGCCGTCGCTGGGCCGTCTGAAGCCAAATGGGCTCTCAGACTTGAGTTGGGTCTAGGGCCGTCACGAGGGCTCTCAGAGACCGTCGTAGAGGCCCTCAGAGGCCAGTGGGCCCCTGGAGTCCTGTGGGACCCTCAGCGGTCGTCATGAGGGCCCTTAGTTGTCGTTATAGGGCCTCAGGGGACAGAGTTCGTTGTGAGAGCCCTCAGAGTTCATCGTAAGGGCCCTCAGAGGCCGTCATAGGGGCCCTCAGAGGCCAGCGTGGCCTCTGGAGTCTCCTTGGGGCCCTGGAGTCTCTGTGGGACCCTCAGCGGTCGTCATGAGGGCCCTTAGTGACCGTTGTAGGGCCCCAAGGGGACAAAGTCCTCAGGTGGGATCCCTCAGAGATCGTCATAAATGGGCCCTCTGAGGCCGTCGTGGGGGCGGCCCTCAGATGCCGCGTGGAACACCAAACGCTCTCGGGACACTTCTAGCCGGTGTGGGGGCCCCAAAGACTAGCATGGGGCGCTCCTGATCATAATTGGACATCCCGGATGATTCCACATCAGTGTTCGTTTCCCGATCACTGGTTTTCAGGAGAAAATTGCATTGGATGGTGCGACGGGCCCCTTGTACGGATTTTGGGGGTGCAAAAAGATATGTTTGCACCCCCATGTTTTTCGATGGGGGTGCAGCTGCACCCCCTGCACCCCCTATTCCGCCGCCACTGGTCATTACGCCGTCGTTTTATTAGGTACCAAATTTTGTGTCAAAATGGTTAGGTACCTAAGGATGTGGGGAAAAAGTTGATATTGTATTTCCATATGTTATCTGACGTTTTTTGTTTGTTTGTTTGTTTGCTTGTTTGTTTGTTTTCTCGGGAGCAAGCTTTCTCGGCCTTATAAGGCCGATGCTTATCATTTACACCTAAGTGACTATTGCAAATCTATGGGATAGGTAATAGGATAGGGCGTAGACATTGGAGTGTGTGGGACACAAACGTTCGACAGTCATTCGAAGAGGCGAGACCGCGTCCCGGTGGGAGCAGACTGCCCGGGACAGTCCGCCCGCCTCCCAAACGGTCACCCGACTGGATTTTTAACGGGTCCCGGCTTAGTGACTGGTGAGGGCAGACCGACAGGCGACATCATCCACCCCGGTTGGCCGGTTGGAAGAGGTAGTAAAAGGTACCTACATAATTTTGGGTTGTCAGGTGGGGTGACCGCCATCCCGGAAAGGGAGCGTGAGGGGGATGCGGATAGGTTTGTCCTGAGGATGGCGAGGACAGACGAGCCACTCCGTAAGCGTCCGTTTATTTATTTCAATTTATCCGACTGTGGTTCACGCCGGTCATCACGGTGACTTTCTTCTTTCCTTCTCTCTGATTTTTTTTTTTACGGGCAGGAATTTTCTCTTTTACCCCTATGAAAATGCTACCATTTTGTACATACATGGCGCAGCAATGCTTTTTTCTGACGCAACAAAAAATGTTCATTTGCTGTTCGTATTGGTCGCGTAGCACAAAGATACGCGACGTTGATTTGTACTTTTGTTGTCAATGATGCATGTGGACACGCAAATTTAATTTTGTGAACATAATACTTATTCCGGATACATTTGACTCGCAAGCAAGTTTGAGTTTTGGGACGACGGTGAAAACAGGGCGCCTGGGGCGATTTGATCAAGGTTCGTGAAATTTACACGTGACGTTTGGAATGTAGAAGGCCCACGGAGGGGGAGCAGTTCCAAATATCACGTGACTAATATGCCCTGCGGCGCCCTGTTTTCACCGGCGTCCGAGTTTTGCTCTTGGTTTTGCCATGGATGAAGGTTTGATACGGCTGAGTTATTTTAAATGGATTTTGCTGATGGTATTCCAGATATTTGCATTCCAGGTACGTCGTTGGATGTTATCACCTTGACTGATAAATATGTTCTCTGACGTGCACTGGCATTGGTTTTGATCTTTGCATGTTAGCAAAGTCCTAGATCAATATGAGCTGATGGTTAGGTAGGTACCAATTTCACATCAATTTTAGCTAACACTCCTACCTATTTCTGTGTTTTTGTTGTTCACCTATGACCTATGCCTGCACTTTCAAGGTAGTTAATTGAGGTAATGAGGTAGATGCATTTATTGATTTTGTCATTTATGCAGGCTGCAGTGAAGCAATTTGCAATTTGAACTGGAGCCTAATGCTTAATTTGATTAAACATAAAATAGCATTGTACCAAAAGTTGATGTGGATCATGTGTAGATTGGTCCTGAATGAGCCAATAAAATAATGTCACTGATGTTTTACTTTTAATCATCAAAGTATAGGTATTGATTCATGGAGCATCTGGCCAAGGGCTACATTTAAAAAAGGTGATAAGGTATTGAAAACATGGAACTGCTACTCAATTACAACTTGTATTTTTACCTACCTATGCAATTAAAGAATAGGTATAAATCATTACTTTTATTTGATATGTTGTTGTGCTACACTATTCTTTACAGGTCTATCTGAAGATGTGCTACGTTGCTGTGACATGTGTGGTGAAAAACATTCTGCCAAGGAATGCAAGTTTCTCATTGATGCTCCAAGGGTGAGAGAGTCTACATCATGTTTTTTCAGGCTGCCCGTATGCATTATCAGAAGTCCTTTTAAATCTGTGTTGACCAGTTTCCTGTGATAAAGCATAATCATGCTATTATATTAAAAATACTGAGTTTAAATTAATTATCCTGCATCTGAGAATGATAATTATCCTGTGATGATCCCTTGTGCTGGTAGTCCACTTGATTTGATAGGAACTAGCAGGCACTATTTCAATCCAACTCCTCATATATGACTCGTATATCAGAGAGAGGACACTTTGTTCAGTCATAGGTGTTAGCCTGATATGGGCTTAAAACACATTTATCATGGACATTGGCCATTTATTTCAGACGACCCATCATTGCCTTCTTTTGACAGATTGGTGATGGCCTGACGAGCCGCGCTCGCGTCACATTGCCCTCGGTGCTGGCGTTACGCTGCCACCTGGACTCCAGCGTAACGGTCGTGAGCACCGCCGAGCTGGGGGTCGGCACTCTGTTCGGCCCGATGGTGGCGCCGCGTACCGACCACATCACCAACCATCAGTTCCCAATCAAGGTGACAGATGGCGCTTGGCGTGGTGGTCGCCGACCGCTGATTGGTTATTCGATAACGCGGCGGCCACTGCCACTGGCCAATGGAGACCAGCTGACCTCAGCTCACTTTTGTTTCTTATCAGTAACTACTTATAGGCGACATTTTCGCTCTCTTCTCGCTTTTCCTTGTTTGATTAAGATCTATCGATTTCGTACCGTTTTACCGGAAGATACAAATCGATGCTCGTCATTTGACGATGCTATTTTTTTTTGCCGTAGCATTACCATCGTCTGCTCGGCCAGTCGATGTGTCAGGATTGTATGAGTTTGACCTGACCTGACCTGACCTGCCTGACCTAACCTGACCTGACCTGACCCGCCTCTGTCAGGTGTTTGGTGGGGACGGCGCGGCGGACCGGTACCTGGACACCCGGGACGAGGACCAGTGCAACTGGATGTGTCTGGTGACGCCCTCCTCGGAGTCGCACCTGCAGAACCTCGCCTGTATTCAGGTCAGTGGGACCAGGTGACCTCAGGTCAAGTGGATCCAGATGGCCTTAGGTCATTACTCATTCGGACCATATAGGTAACCTAAGGTCAAGTGGGACCATTACAAAAGAATGCTCGCTAAACAGCCACAGTCTGACAGTTCTTTTTTTCTTACGGCAAATAAATTTAGGTCGTCACATTTGTGATGTGGCGGTTGGTGTCTGCATTATCTTATTGGAGGCAAAGTACACCCTGACGGCTGACCGTCGCCGCCCGGCCCCTCAGATCGGTGACGACATTTTCTATGTGGTGCGCCGCGCGGTGTCGGCCGGCACGCCGCTGCACGTCTGGTACGCGCCGTTCTACGCCGCCAAACTGCGTCACTCTCTGACGTCAGACCTGCTGGCGCCGGCCGACAGTGACGTCACGGAGGTGGTGCTGATTCGGGAGGCCGAGACGCCGCCCGAAAAGGAGCTGGACAAGGTGGGAAACGGGAGGGAGAGAAGGGTGGGACAGTGGGAGGTCAGACTCAGAGAGTCCTCCAGAACGGGAGGTAGAGGAGTTGAGAATGGAGGGGGTGGGGAGAGTGGGGCAGTTGAAGGCCGAGAGTCTGCAGGAAAGGGAGCTGGGAAAGGCGCGGAACGGGTTAGGCGGCGGAACAGTTGAGGCCGAGTGTCCGCCCAAACGGGGACGGGACGGGGTGGGGAACGGGGAAGGGTAGTTTAGGGCCTGGATATCTCATACATGGTCTGTATATCTCGTATGGCCTCTATAACCCGTATCACCTGTAATGACCCAGTCACTGTGACCGGTTTCCCCGCTCTCCCCTCAGCCGGCCGGACCCGCCGGTCCGGCCGTCGAACTGTGCTGCCCGCTGTGCCCGCGCCGGCCGCGCAGCGCCGCCTCGCTGGCCGCCCACCTGCTGAAAGTGCACGGCTCAGAGCTGTCGGCTCTGCCGGCCGCGCCGCCGCCGCGCTGCGCGGTCTGTGACGCCGAGTGTACGGACGGAGCGGCCCTGGTGGTGCACCTGAGGAGCCACCGGGCCCTACACCGGTGTCCACACTGCGCCAAGGTACCGTCTGACTAGTGGGGCTCGGATCGGATCGGGAGTGTGACCGACGTCGGTGTGCGTGTTCTGTGCAAATCTAGTAGAATGTTTTCATCGACATTTTGCATCAATTATTCTTCTTGTTCGTGTGTTTGGCAAACCTGGCTTATCCTGAGTGCAGCAGCTCTGTTATTCGTATGCAGCTGTTCTCTGCTGGCTGGAAGCCCTCACTGTATGTGCACAGCCGTCAATGCTTGTCTGACGTGTCAATGTTTGCTTGCTGCTGCCTGACGGATGTTGACTGCCGGTGGTTGACGAACGAACCATGTCCCGTCGTCCCGGTAGGTGTTCACCCGCCGTCAGACGCTCGCCGCCCACCCGTGCCCCGGTCCGCGGCGCGCCGCCCAGGGCTGGCCGTGTCCCCACTGCGGCCGACTGTTTACCACGGCGGCCGCGTGGCGGCGCCACCAGCGGCGGCACACGGGAGCGCTGCGCTGCGCTGGCTGCGGCCGCCACTTCGCCTCGGCGTCCAGCCGCGCGGCTCACGTTTGCCGCGCCGCCTCCGCCGCCGACCGGCCGCACGCCTGCCCCCAGTGCGCGCGCCGCTTCGCCAGCGCGGCCAGTCTGCGACAGCACACGGCGCTACACTCGGACCGCTTCGCGTGCCCGCGCTGCGCGAGGCGCTTCTCTGGCGCGGCGCCGCTGCGCCGTCACGAGGCGCTGTGCGGCGCCGGGGAGCAGCTGGCCCGCTGCGGCTCGGTGACGTGCCGCCGCTGTTCGGCGCGTCTCGACTCGCTGCCGGCGCTGGCCGAGCACGCCCGGCAGCACGAGCTGCCGCACCGCTGCACCACCTGCGGCCGCAGGTTCCGCTCGCGGCTGCAGCTCGGCGCACACGTCTGCTCGCGCCTGGAGCCGGAGCGGGGCGCGGCGGGACGAGTGGCTCCTTCCCGGCGACCGGTGAGATCCCGGACAGCGCAGTCCGCGCCACCCCCAGTGGTGTGTGAGGTGTGCGCCCAGACCTTCACCTCCAAAAAGTCGCTCTGGCTCCACCGGTTCACACACGCCGAGCGCCAGTTCGCCTGTGAGCTGTGCGGCTTGAAGTTCAAGCGGAAAGATACGATGCTGTCACATCTGGCCACGCATGGCCAGCCAATGGTGAGGCTGGTTTGGTTTGGTGACTGGGGAGATATACAAATGGAGCGAGAAAGAAGGACACTTTTTGCAGGTCTTTGCTTTTTCGCTGTTTCATTAGTTAATTGATTTTTAAATCAAAACAATTGTCATTAGGTATATCATGCGTTCGCACAAAAGGCCCTTTCACATAGAAAACGCAACGGTTTCATATTACCAGCTCTGTACATTCCACACCTAACCACTGTGTCCCCACCCCCAGGTGCCATGTCCCCACTGCCACAAGCGGTTCAAGTCGAAAAAGTCGCTGGCCGTGCACGTGCGTCTGCACACTGGGGACGCGCGCTTCGCGTGCGACCTGTGCGAGCGGCGCTTTGTGCAGAAGGTGAACATGCTGCGCCACCGGCGGACCCACGACCCGGACCACCGGCTGGAGTTCCGCTGTGACGTCTGTGGAAAGTGCCTGAGCAGCGCGCACCACCTCAAGGACCACCGACTGCAGCACACCCAGGTGAGGGAGGGGCGGCGGCTGCAGCATACGCAGGTAAGGGAGGGGGGGGGGGGCGGACGCAGGTAAGGGAGGGGCGGCGGCTGCAGCACACCCCGGTAAGGGAGGGGGGGGGGCGGACCACCGGCTGCAGCATACTCAGGTAAGGGAGGGGCGGCGGCTGCAGCACACGCAGGTAAGGACGCACTACTGGCTGGGGGCGGGGGGGGGGGATGGGACCATTGACCGAGAGAGGGGGATGGACCACCGGCTGCAGCACACTCAGTTGAGGGGCAGACCATCAGCGGGGGGGGGGGGGGAGAAGCACCGGCTGCAACATACCCAGTTGATGGACGGACCGCCCCGGCGGGGGGGGGGGGGTGACCACCGGCTGCAGCATGCCTAGGTGAGGGCAGTTGTAAGGTAGTTTGGGCAGTGGGCTCTTTTTCGGGTCTATTAGGAAGGTTTGGCTTACTCTGTGTTTTGAACTACGAAGCTATGTGATTGTTCCTACGTGTTTTTATCTCTCGTTCTCGATTGTTCATAGTTCTTGTGCTTTCGCGATTTCGTTAGCTCCATAGTTATTTCAGTAGACGTTTGCTTCCCCACACCACCACCCTCACATGACCTGTCGCTCCTACACTCTACCCAGCCCCTCTCTGACCCCCCTCCTTCTCCACCAGGGTCGAACCCACCGGTGCGCCGCGTGCTCGCGCTCCTTCCTAAAGCGGCGCGACCTGCAGCGGCACATGTCCGTGGTTCACACCGCCGGGCAGTACGAGTGCCCCTTCTGCCATATGACCACACGGCTCAAAGGCAGCATCAGGTGAGACTCCGAGCCGTCAGGGGTTGGAGTACGGGTCAGTGTGGGTACGGTCGGTTGGTTGGCTGAGTGTCCCCGTCTGATTAGGTGTAGTTAACTAATTAAGTAATATTGCGTCTGATGTCTGGCGTTTTGGCTTCCTCTAAGAAGCTGGGGTTTCCTTTTATGGATTGGGATTTGACGGAAAGTGAAATCGAATGTTTCACTCGCAATGGGGTTTATGCTTGCCAGTTTTTCTCCGTTTATGTTACCAATTAGCTGAGCTCGACGTTGCCCCGAGGTATGCTGACCGCTGCTCCCCCCCCCCCCCCGTCTGACAGCCGGCACCTGGCCAAGATGCACCCGGCTGAGCGGCCGCAGTGGTCGCCCGCCGGCTTCCTGGACTCGCTGCACAGCGCCCCGGCCCGGCCGGCCGCCGACTCCATCCTCACCCTGGAGCCGGACGGCACGCTGCTGCTGGCAGTGCCATCTGGTGACGCCGCGCTGGACTCGAGCTTGGCCCGCTCGCCGTCGGCGGCGGTACTGGCGGACGCGGCGGGAGGGGATCAGGACGTGCTGCTCTATGTGATTGATGTGCCCGAGATGGACATCACTTTTGACCCGCCGCAGCAGTGACGGGACGCGATGGTGACCTGGAGGGGTCGGTGGGGAACCCGCTGTCCCGCTGTGATATTTTGGGTGGTTAGTACCAATCATCTAAGGAATTATGTACAGGACTCTGCTGTCCTCGTCACCTCTTGTTTGAACAACGGGTATGTTTTTTGTACGTGATTTATTGTTTTTTTCTTCTATTGCCTTTTGGTCTATGTGTTCGTGTAGTGTGTATGTGTACGTGTAGTATGTACCAGTGGGAGCCACTGGCTCAAAACCCACAAACACTGCACAGCGGAAACCACACGTGTTTTGGTGTGGTGGGTATACGGGTTAAAGCGTGTTTTGAGTAATGTAGTGCTAATGTAGCAATTTGGAAAACAAAGAAACATGCAAAGAAATTTACTCGGCTGTATGATGACGTTTGGAGCATCCAAAGTGACGGGGTATGGGATCAATGATATTGATGCGATATTGTTCGCTTGCTATTCCGATAAAATACCTATCGATATAATAGGACCGATACGTTTGCAATCTACACAGAATCATCATGTCCGGCGTGCTCATTTGAGTATTGCTGAATCCAATCGCACATCGTTTGCCTTTTATAACTCAAAAGCGGAAAATTGTGCGCAACATATGGTTTATCAACCGATTTTTAATTAACGTAATGTCATCTTTATATTGCAGAAGTTACGGGCGGTGATCCATGGATTCGACGATGCTGAGCTGAACCGTACAAATATATATCTTGTTTGGCTTCGTCACAGTGCAGTTCTTTTGTCATTCCTGCCGCTGCGTCGCAGCACAAGATGATTTAGTCGAGGTCCAGTGAATTTCGATACCCGGTGAACGATTGACTCACCGGCTGGGGCAGCCGCATGCTCGAAAATTCGTGCTGTCGTTATCCGTTATATGCCAATATGTAGTTATGTAGATGTATATTGAGTAGGAAAAACGCCCAGGTTCCATGAATGATAGCTATATTTCGCAAGATTATTATCTGTCGAGCCATTCGTGAATCTAGATATAAAAGCAAAAACAAGTAAACATTTGACGGATATGTCGGTTTTATTCATTCGCTGTTTCGCCCCTAAATGAGTTTGACCCCAGTGCAGTGGGAGAAAGTCGAGTGTATGCATCGTTACGAGACGCAGCGAATGATACCCAGTTTTAGAAGCCCAGGTCAACTGGTCAGCTCTGAGGTCAGGTCAAATGCCCTAAAGTTCTGGGGACAATATGAATAGACGGCGGCGGCTGCCCGGTATTGAACGAACTTCATCCGCCGTGCGAACAAATGTCCCGTCACTGTCCTTCGCTGCGCACAGGCGTTCGAGGACACCCTCGAGAAAGCATTCATTGCACAAGGTGCGACTGCGACCTTGTGGAGCCGCGCGTTCATCAGGGTAGGACACCTGGCAATGGCCTCCAGTGAGTGCCGGTGTCATCTGGTGTAGGTATCCAGCCCCCCCCCCCCAACAGATGCGCTCTCACTGCGTGTCTGAAGTGGACGTCTAACATGGATCACCAAGGGCATGCGGAGTAGCAGCGCTGAGAGCTTCTCGGATCTACCACGGGGCGACTGTTTGAGATGCAGTAGCTGCTCGTATAGTTTAGGTACGCTTGCACAGGTGTTTGGAATTTGGATAAATGTGGAATGTGTATTGTGCACATGCACGAGCATACCAGAAGCCTTGGTGTAGTTGCATACGTGAGAAACAGGAACCTTCATGAATCACGGCCACTGCATATCAAAACGGATTGAAGTTGCAAATGCAATTGGTAGGTATAAATTGTCGATCGGTAAATGCTGCATCAGGGTCCGAAGAATCCACCACGTATTCGCCTCAAATCTAATAAAGCACCTCACTGTCACGCATAGGTTCGTCAACAGTCAGGCCTTGTCTGGAGTGAAAATATAAATGGCGCCTGCAACCAGCTCCCAGATTATTGCAATTTCAAGTTTACAAACACTGAAAACAATTTAACCCAAGGCTGGCGAGTAAACCGGTGTTTTACGGGTACCGCTATCCGCAACCATTTTTAACCACCCTCCCAGGAGTAGTGCTAGGTCCCATTGCGGTGTAGTCGTACTTACTCTGAGCGCATATAACCGCTGTCAGCGAACAAGTCCGCTGAGAGCAGGGACGACTACACTGCAATGGGACCTTACTGTACTCCTGGGAGGGTGGTTAAAAATGGTTGCGGATAGGGGTACCTGCAAAACACCGGTTTACTTGCGGGCCTTGGGTTAAATTGTTTTCAGTGAAGGCGTTAGCGGCTCAAACTTTCAGCCTCACCGGGTCATCCACACTTTCTCCGCGCTGCGTTACAGCATGCACTGGCCTCTGATTGTTGACACTAGGCCCGGTTGTTGTGTGCAGGGCCAAGAACGGCCTGCCCTACGGCTGTTGCGCTGCCGCACCGTTCACCGGTGACCCGAGGCGTGCGGTCGTTCCCGACTGACCCGGGGCGTGGCGGTCGTTCCCGGCTGACCCGGGGGCGTGGCGGTCGTTCATGGCTGACCCGGGGCGCGCCCGGCACCCGGCGCCCGCTTCCCGACCCTCTCCCCACGCACGATCTGTCTCTCCTGCTCTCCCCGCGGGCGATTGCTCCAGTTGCAGGCCGCGGGCTGGCTATAAAGGGAGAGCCGTGCCCGGGGCACTCACACACACTGCCTGAGAAGCTCTCCCGCCGGCCACGCCCGACGCTGCTGCCATGAGTCTGGTAGGTGCTCCGCTCCACTCACGCTCGATCTATATCCCTCCGCTCCTCGCCCGCACTCTGCTCAGGCTCCTCCCGTGCCCCGACGACACCCCCGTAACCCTCCTGTACCCCGGCTGTAGAGCCCGTACTGGTACCCCGGCTGGGAACCCGTACCTCGCCAGTACGTGGTCAGTCTGTACCCCTCCTGCACCCTCCTGTAGCCCAGCTGTTCCCCTGACCCCTAATGTAACGTGCACTTCCCCCGGACGGTGTATCCGACCTCGCGAATGTCGGCCATTCGCTCCGGGCCGTGTGTCTATAAAAAAAAAAAAATCGGTAGAAAGACGGTGTATCCACTGGCTGATTGCATTCGGACGAAATTGTTATTCAGACCAAAATTAATTTATTCGTATTTGAAACAAATAGGTTTTCTTGTGTGACAATTACGATTTATTTCCGAAGTTCTGGGCTGTTGTAAAACCGAGCATGGCCGATGATCTCGCAAATCGCAGAAGTTCTTCCTCCGTTTCGTCCCATGAGTGTCTACTGACGTTTTACCGTCGTCCATTGTGCGGCAGATTGCATTTGTTGCCCTGGTGGCGCTGGCGGCCGCGGCTCCGCAGGGCGAGAGACCAGCCACCACGTCGGTACCGATCCTCGAGTACGTCAACCAGTTCGGCGGAGACGGAAACTACCAGTTCAGGTGGGTTCGATCGTAACGCGAAGCTCCCAAGCTAGATATGTTCCGAATAGTGACGTCACAGGGTCGCACATTGACATCAAACTGCACAGAATGTGACGTGATAGACGTAACACATGCTACACTGACATCTCAATGCACAACCTTGACCTCAGATAAAGCTGGGTGATTTTGATAATGAGCTGCATCAATGCATGCATACTTTAGGCACCCGACCGAACATGACCGTTCTATGCAGTCTGCATTGCAACACGGAGGTTGGTGCGGAGCCGGTGGCGCCGAGAGCCGCTGACATTTCTGCCGCTGGCAGCAGAGCGCGATTTACGATTGTTGTCAAACTGCATTCATAATAAATTCAATGCAGCGCGTGCAACTGTGGCCCGTCTCGCAACTGAACGGGACGGTGACGGTAACTGCCTGCCGGTCTGCCGGCTCATTTCACATGTCTCCGCCTGATTTGTTGCTAAAATTACACAAGCTCTATGTGCCGGGTAGCCTGAAAGGAGGCTTTAAAAGGAGGCCGGCTTCATGGCTTTTTATTTAAAAGTAATGCTTATTCACGGAAAATTTATCATACTTACTCGTTGGCGAAGTGGCACACATGAGTTGTTTCTTCACGCACCGTGACTTATGATTATTCGTCACGGTCTCTAACTCACAAGACATGTAACGTCAACTTGCCACTTTTCACTCATGGACTAACAAGCTCTCTTACTCGACTCCTGCAGGTTCAAGACGGGTAACGAGATCAACCGTGAGGAGGAGGGTGCCCTGAAGGACGTGGTCGTGAAAAATGACAACGGTCAGGAGGAGGTGAAACGCGTGAACGTGGTGCGAGGAGTCATCCGCTACCCCAAGGACGACGGCACGTTCTACGAGCTCAGGTGAGTCGAGACACAGGCTAAGTTGAACGACCTGACAGCCGGGTCATCTCACAAGTCCAATTGTAGGGCAAAACTTCTCTAGAAAAAAGATAAAGGGTAACTTACATAATGTCTCGGCAAACCTACTACGATATTGAATATAATATGTCCATAGTAGCGGATTATGCTCAACCTGAGATTCTATCTTATCAATTATTACGACTTAGTGCTCACGGACTAATAGCGTGATCACCATTTTGTGTATACGATGGCATTGTCCATCCCGTTCAATCTAACAAAAGCCGACAAACAATGCACGGCGAAATCGCATGCGTGGCGTGCGGGTCAATCGCGGTTTATCCCTCGGTCACTACCCTGACCTAGTGGGGTTCATTATCTTGCATGGGCACCGCCCTCCTCTCTGCCGTGAGGACCGTGCACGCTGCTGTGAGGCGCCGGACGCTGGGGAGTCGCCTCATAGCGCACCTCCGTCCCGCCCACGCTCTGAGTATGGTGCAATGGCTGGGGCGACTCAATATGTGTGTGCGCGTGTCTGTGTACGCTTCCCGCCCGCCCGTCGCTTTCGACACAGCTGTGACCCGGTGAGGCCGGCCACGAGGGTGGGCTCTGGGTGGGCGAGCGCTGAGCCGATCGCTCGCCGCTCCCCGCCACGGCTTATTGGACACACGTGACGCGCCTTGAGATACCGGTGTGTTCATCACTGATGTGTCCCTCCCATTCAGAGGTCGTATTTGAAACTGAGCGGCTGATAAGACGACAGAATACTAACTAATCGAGCACATATAGTCTTTGAAACCAGCCCTCGGTGTCGCAATATTACAATCAAACTGAGCGAGATACCTCGTTTGTTTTTCCTTCGTTATTTTTGCTCGTAGTTACATCTAGCGTGCTCCGTACCTAGATGATGCTATCAGTTCCCATTACTTCTTTTACTAATCGATAGAGCACCATGAACATAACCTCAAGGAAGGCCGGTACTGAGTCCCATCTCGTCCCGGACCAGAGCGACCTTGCCGCCCTGTTCTGCCCCCCGCGGCGGGGTTGCCCCGCAATCATCCCTGTCCCGGGGCACCCATAGGACCATCACGTGGTCTCCAAGGTCGCCGGTCGGTCCATTTATCTCAGCTCAAAAGGCGAGTTCAAGGCCGCGCGCCGCCCCGGGGCACGGACGGACCGGTCCCGTTATGTAGCGTCGGCCGAGCGCTGGGCGCGGAGCACTTTTACTTTCCCCGGGGCTGATACCGGAGATCACGACCTGCCTGGGACGCGGCGTGGAGGCACAAAACAGCGGCCCCGAGGTCGGCGCGGCCGCGGCGCACCCGACCGCCGTCACCGGAGCGCTGCGATGGAATTCTGTGGTAGACGCAGGCCGCAATATTGTCAGAATTCCGTCCGCCGGTGGTCAGAAGAGGCGGCTCTTTTTACCTCCCTCACCTTCACACGGCCGAGCGGGCTGGGTAAAAACTGGTCCGCCGCGCGCGGTCTGAGTGCCGTGCGCGGGATGACCGGTCCTCAGACGAGCCCGGGGCAGAGTGTGGGAGGCGGGGAGAGAGGGAGGGAGGGAGGTCACCGGGCACCTCTGCCCGAGCCGCTGACGTGCCAGTGAAAGTGCCCTCGCTGACCTGCCCTTGATGTTTCAGCTACATCGCCGACGAGCTGGGCTTTCGGCCGGTCAGTTCGGATATCCCTTCGGCGCCCCTGCCGTGAGACCCGGCGCCCGTGCCCTGAGACCCGGCGCCCCTGCCCTGAGACCCGGCGCCCCTGCCGTGAGACCCGCGCGGCGCCCCTGCCGTGAGACCCGGCGCCCCTGCCGTGAGACCCGGCGCCCCTGCCCTGAGACCCGGCGCCCCTGCCAGGAGTACCGGTGCTGTTCCCGACTCTGAGGTGGCCGGTGACACTGATCAGGCGTCGGCCTTGGCAGTGACTCGGACTGTCAGTCGTCAGTTCGGGCCAGCCATGGTGCTACTCGGTAGAAGGAATGTGTGGGGCTGTCTGTGCTCTGGCGACTTGTGAAATACGTCATTAGTTTGTTATTTTGTTGCGTCTTATGTTTTATGGTCATCGATTTGTAAGCCATGCCGGTTTGTTTCCTAATGCGTCGAATGATAAATACATGGACTATCGGAAGATACCTGTGGGCTGTGATTTTCATCTTTACCTCGTAAATGCTTCTGGAGAAACCCGACCGCCTTTCAAAAATCATAATCAAAATTAGACCAACAATCTGGGGGCATAAAACGTTATGATCAATTTGAGACGCTCGAATACTTTCGTTCATGCACATGTCAAACCTGAATTAGATTAGTCCCCTGTTGCCACATGTTCTGGCCCATCGCCATCGGGGTCAGGCCAGGGTGCCAAAAGAGATTGTCCAGGACCTCTAGTCCTCGACCTTGCGACCGACGGAGAGCGCCAGCCTTTCTGTGCCTGCCCTGGTCACCTTAGCAGCTCCCAGCCCGGTACCCTGTGCCAGGAGGGATTGAGTAACTGACGGTCTACACTAGATAAGGGGAAGCCTGATTAATTATGAAACATTTGCCAGGGTCAGCCGTCCAAAGCTTGTCCTTATCACCTGACCCGCTCTGCGATCATTCTAAGGCGCGGGAGGGTCTTGCTGACAACCGCCACGAGATAAAGGAGACCGATAAATCGTGAATCTTTTAGACCTAGCTTGCCTAGCATTGCCTATAAAGGAGCTACATCTCAGCTCCACACGAACAAAAGCAGCTCTTTCTTTATTCGGAAAAGGGCTTATATTATTTATTTGTATCTAGTATTTGTTTATAAGTATTTATAGAAGTATTTATACAGCAAATCACTTAGCAAAGACGTGTCGGTAAACAGTTTAGAGTGGTTTGACAGGCGACACTCGATAAAAACGTCAATGCCGATGGTTTTCGCTCTCTGTAGACCGAACCGCTGACCTTGGGCCAAATCTGGGGACACATTAGCGAAAGAGCTTTCAAATAGGTATGGATTGGGCTTTTCAGCGGTATCACTGACCCGAAGACGCAAATACGCGACAGATTTATCCAACGCGAATGGAAAGTGAGGGCTAATGCATGAAGTTCCACCCAACCGCAATCGGGCTTAGGCTAGGCTTGCACTGCTGGATCCGTAGACAAGAGCAGCTGCCGCCGGAAAATGCAGATTATCCGCAGTGCACGGAGCTCTCGGAGCATGCACACCGCTTCTGCGACGAAAGCGGGACGCCAAAATTAGTAGCCGGGGCCTAGAAAAAGCAATTGACGTTGTATGGCATACTACCTAAGTAGGCTCTCCAATTAAATATCTTGTCCTTCATCGTGCCTTACCATGTCCCGAACCAAATGACGCAGCATGAACCACCGTATAGCGCTCCACAGACGTTTTCCAGTGTCCGCCAGGGCCCCACCCCTCACCCACGTGCCCAACGTGGCTGCCCGACTGTACTGGGATCTGCCGTTCGTGGTCAGTAGCCGATGAGCGACTCGCAGACCTATAACTTCTCGATGATCCAGGCGAGGTCAGGCTCTGTCGGGACATTCAGAACCTCAGAACCCCAGCGAACACGCCGGCGCAGAGAGGGCAGGAGCGGACCGCCACGCCGGCTTCTCCGAAGGTCACTGGTCGTCTGGACTTTTCCGACCCGCCGCCGTGCGTGGCCCAATCCCTGCACGGACGGTTCCCCCGAGCGGCGGTCCGGCCGACGCTGGCCCGATCCGAGCTGCGTCCGCCGGTACCCGAGCCGTGGGTCGGCCGCACCGCGGGCCGGCCGGCCCTCTGACCGGTGACCGCGGCTGGGGCCGTGTGACCCGGCCGCCGGCCCCGCCCCGGGTTGCGCCATCAGCTCTGTTGCACGAGAGGGCCATCAGGCGGGCGGCTCGCCCGCGCGCCGCCGCCGCCGCCGCCGCTCGAGCCGGAGACGCCTTACGCCATGGTTGCGCAGCGCTGCCGTGGTGTTTTGCAACGGCTGCGTCTCCGCAGGGGGCAGACTGGTGGGATCAGCCGGTGACAGATCGCCTCTCGATCTGTCGCTCAGAATCCCGTTCAATTGGCCCGTATCTGATCGGAGCTGACATGCCATCCCAACTGACCTCGAAGACGGCATCTGCCAGGCGTGGGAAGACGGTCATGCCGCTGTCATGGGGAGGACCTGCCACCCACGACAAAACCTTTTGTTGATGAGTTAATGTTTGGCTTCCCGGAGAAGCTCGACTGGCAAATTAAATAATAATTATTTGAATAAATGGGCGTTAATAAATTCGGACTGTATAGGACTGTTTTGCCGCATTTATAATTGGTAGGCATGTGCAAAAACTAATCTGGATTTTACACGAACAATTGCGCTATTCTACTCTGCTAGTTTAATTTTGAATTATTTTCTCGTTGTATATATTTCTCCTTTTTCCATAACAAATGTTTTTTAATCACTTTACTGTTCAGTGTTCACATTCCTTCAACCTAACTAGTCTTTTCGCTAAAGACAAGCTGCAGTAAGAAAAGGCTGCTGAGTCATATCGCGCGATTATCTCTGCACGCTCCCACGTGGGAATGCAGCCCACGAGCTGCCTGGGCTGCCATCTCCGGCGCGTGACTCTCAGTTTCAGCGATCAGCTGCTTTCGTGCCGGGGCGATTTGACCGGTATTGTCTTAGGCATGCAGCGGTTAACCAAGACGGATAACAATTTGCATAGAATGGAACTCCCCGTCGACTTAGACTTGCGGTAGTTCGATGACAAAGACCTGAGAGCAGTTCTACCGGTGCAGTTTCTATGGATCCGCTGAAGGTCGGCCGGAGAAAGGTGGACGGGAGACAGACTCGTCTCTTCAGCTAGTCCACCGCATAAGAAGACTGCAAGATGAATAGACAGCAATGAGTAATTGGATTTGTCAGTTGCACCACCTCGGGTGCTGAAATAGCGCCCGGCTCCTTTTGCAGGTGATCGCTGGCCATATTAGTCTCTGATCCGATCCCGGGAAAGTTCGCAAATTACCTACCTGAATTATTCATTTTTGGCTAAAGATAGACTGGGTCGTGCATCTTACATTTTGATTATTTGGCAGCGAATTTCAGCAGCCACCTACACCATGAAAAGTTAACATCGAGACCTCTGCTGCATCCCTGTCGAGGGTCATTACATTGCACGATCATAGCTGCACTCTGTCTACGATTTCATCTCCAGCACCAATTAGCGAGTGAAATGATCTGATGTTTCTCAATCGTTTCCTCAGTAATTGCACCGCTCTGGTGACATCATACCGGTTTGTGAAGTTGGCCGAAATGGCCGCCGTCAAATCCTCTCCCCGTCACCGCGAAAGCGAGAGTTGCCTCCGATCGGAACACGCCCCACCGTTTTCCCGGAGAACCGCCCCGGCTCGCTGTTCCCAGTGACGTCACCTCTGAGACCAGTGGCGTCATCGGTGTCGATGATCCGCGGCAGTCACATGCCGTGAGCGGCGCGGTCACTTTCGGAACAGGCAGCAACCGCTTCCTCACAGGCATGCCGGTGGTTGACCGACTCGCGTGCAGGGCCTGGCGGCTCGGGTCGAGTCTCAGCTGCTCTGTGGGGATTGCTGCCGAGTTTTTCCGGACTAACCGACATGCTTGAAGCGAATTATGGGAATTGGCGGAGCTTCAATAAGAGCTAAGTGTTGGTGAAACATGCAGCCTTTCTAAGCTGCGCAACCTGTATGCGTATTAGATATATGTTTCTAAATAATATGATAATTATGCAGTAATGGCAGGTTTGTGCGAAAGCACTGATGAGCATGACAAATTTCAGGATCCGTTCTGATGTGGGAGTCGTTGAAAAAGAAACTATAGCAAAGTATCAGCCTAGTGTTTGATTTAAATTGAAAATGAATTTACGAAGAACAATTAAATCATGATTGAGTTAGCGATAACGATTCGCTACATTTCATTGCCGCATTTTCACTTTCAAACCTGTCAAATTTTATCAGCTTATGGCCTCACTTGATCTCGCTACCGTTGCCTCACACCGTAGCGGCTCGTAAACGGTATGCGTAGTCCGCTCGCTTCATTATCTCTTCGTGCCAGCAACCGTGGAGTGAAAGAGAGCGAGCGAGGGCGAGAGAGAGAGAGAGAGAGAGAGAGAGAGAGAGAGAGAGAGAGAGAGAGAGAGAGAGAGAGAGAGAGAGAGAGAGAGAGAGAGAGAGAGAGAGAGAGAGAGAGAGAGAGAGAGAGAGAGAGAGAGAGAGAGGCAAACAGAGAGACCGACAGACCGGTTCTCAGTTCTTCAACTGCTGTTCGTGCCAATATGGCCAACTATCTCGCCTCTCGGTATCACCGCCTTGCCTTGGCGAGAGTGACTGATACCTCTCCGCCCCTCCACTGCCCCCCTCCCCCCGTCAGTCTCTGCTCGGTGGCCGCCCACCCGGCAGTGACGCGAGAGGAGAACGGGCGGTAATTCACGGTCGTCACGGTATGGGATCACGACTCACGGCAGGTCTCCGTGACCGCTCGGTGGGATAGTGCCGGCCACAGGTGGGGGGGGGGGGGGGGGAGAAGGTGTGGTCGAGTCTGGGGAGGGATGGTACTCAATACAGATTACACACATCAATAAACCGTATAACGCAAGAGAAGGAGGACTGATTCGTCATTTGGGCTCTGTTTATTGATTCAGTCAATACCAAAGTGATTTCACGTAAAAACGATAAAATGTCAAATATCTCACAGGATGCTCGGCTTCTCATACTAAACCACGATGCACAGAAGTTGCAACTTTATCAGGTCACCTTGAATTGCCATCCTGTCCTGGTAAATCCAAATTACGTGCGGTATACAGAGCAGAAAAATTGCACTCACCGCGTGCTATGTTCCTGGATATTATTTGCCGTCACATGTCTAGACGCTATATCTGTTATAAACATTACCATTAATCGGTCTGAAATGGTAAAAATCACGCGACAATTTACACAGACTGTTCTGATCCGGAAATGCGTCGTATTCTTAGAGCCAGGATTTTGACACACGTGAGGACAAGAGCTTTGTTAGGCGTCGTTTATTTTCTCTCTATAACCTCTGAGGTGGATAACGGGCAATTGAATAGACGCATACGCATTGCGCATCACTGCAGTTTTAAGAGATTCAAGGATCATCAGAGAATACGGGTGTTTATGCAATGCTTCAAATTGTCAATGATTGAAGGGCTTCCGCCTCATAGATAATATACATATGCTGGCTGTTGCTTTCTACGGTCCAGAATATATCAAACTTACAGTGGATTGACATGATTGATGAAACGTAGCCATCTCATGAGCCATTGCGGAACATTGTTTGGTGTCATGGACAATGACATGACATGCAGTGAACATTATACTTCACAAGCAGCATTCCATGCACCATATTTTCTCTACTCGTTTTCCACTTCACGGTCGCCGGACCCGTGAAAAATCGCGCCGACGTGGGAAGGCTAGTTAGCAGATTGGAAAAATTGACATAATGGCGGTCGTTTCCGACCGTTTTGAGTCACCAGACCACACCACGCGCACTCGATTATTACGTGGTTTTAAACGGCTGAAACGGCACCGATATATCGAATATGTGTCAGCATGTGAAGGACACATGAACGCACGAAATCCTCACGGTGCAGCAATATTTGGCAATCACAATTCATGAATCGACGGACGCCCTCAGTTTCTTTTGCAAACGGAACACAAGGTGCCTGAAACGCACTGTCTTTTTCACACCGATGTGATATAGCGAACGACCAGAATGTTGCAACGCATATGTCAACACTCGGGAAGCATAGGTACTATTCTCACAGGAAAACGCTCCCTTTTATGTCCGATAGCTCACACCGCGATGAAATGCACCATCATTGCATCCCACCCTCCGGCCTCCGTCATTGCTTTGCTTCATTCCTTGAGCAAACACGCCTTGTTATAATTAAATCTCCACCGCTAATCGGTCAGAGGCGGCCTCTTCAACCCAGTACAGAGTACCTACACACTCAAAGACGGCTCCGTTTCGTCTCGCCGTCTTTGACACCCTGGGAGTCCCGCCGTGGGAGCGGGCCACCCGTCGCGGTGGTAGGGGTGTGCACTGCCCGCGGCGGCACGCGCCACCAGCGACCACCGTAACGCCGTCACACACCGTCACACGCCGTGACGACTATAAGAGAAGGTGTGCAACTGTAACACCATGTCAGATCGCCAGAGACGTGAGCCCACCATGCAGCGAGTGAGTGAGCACCCCAGATATACTGATCTACCTATAACGTTTATCATCTATTCAACTTTTTTTGCAAGCGATGAATCAAATGGGTTTATTTTCATATTCATCGCGATTTACATAAGATAATTGGACCTGCAAAGCTCAAACTGAGTATTTATGGTTGGATGATACCACATGTTCAGTGTCTGATGTTGACTGTTTTTGCAGATTGTTCTGATCCTGTGCGTCGCAGCGGTGGCACTGGCCGCCCCCGCCGCCCAGTACCGGGGCACCAGCGCGCGGAGACGCAACCGCTACCAGAGTATCGCCTCTCGGGGCACCACTACCCCGGCGTACAGCCCGCAGGAGGCGGTCACCACGACTGCCGCGCCGCCCGCCTCTGAGAGCACCACTCGGCAGTACGAGCAGCCCGCGCAGCCCTCCCCGACCCCCTCCTCGGACGTTAGGGGGTACCGCCAGCGGACGCAGCCGGCTCCCGCGGCGGCGGCAGCGTCCAACAGGGCCAGCCAGAGGTACAGCGGCGGCACGGCGCAGCGGTACAACAGTGCTGCAAACCAGCAGTACAGCAACGCCGCACCCCAGCAATACAGCAGCGGCGGAACGAACCGGCAGTACAGCAGCAGCGGAACCCAGCAGTACAGCGGGAGCGGAACCCAGCAGTACAGCGGGAGCGGAGTGAATCAGCAGCGTACCCCACCCGTACCCATCGTGCGCTACCAGAACGCACCGACCGGGGACGGCGGCAACCAGCACGCGTGAGTAAAGTGGCCAGGTGGTGGGTCCAATGGACAATAACTAGTTGTGTGGAAGGAAATGCTCAAACGGGCTGATGTTTCAAACAAACAGGGCTTCATTTGATATCTTTTCGCCGAACATCTGAAAAGTTATGTCTTGTTTTCCCAATAAAATATCTTTCCCAACAAGATGAGACGAAACAGGTCATATTTCTTGAAATATTGTCTGCAAGAAGAAACTACGATGTTGTAATTGCTGAACTTTCCAACTCACTCAGTGCACTTTTCGCCTCAGCTCGTGACTCCGGGTTCGCTGAGTGTCTGACGAATGTTCGCTCTCCGGTTCCAGCTACGAGACGGGGAACGGCATCCAACGTGAGGAGGGCGTCTTCATCAAGGAGCTGACCGTGACTGGCGAGGACGGCAAGCAGAAGACGGTCCGGGTGCCCGTCTACCGGGGCTCGTTCAAGTACCAGCAGCCGGACGGCACCTTCATCGAGGTGCAGTACGAGGCCGACGAGACGGGCTTCCACGCCGTGGGCGACTCGATCCCGCAGGCACTGCAGTAGACGCCTGCCGTGAACGATCCTCCGGGGACTGCAGTGGGGGCGTGGGGTGAGGGGCGTGCAGCGGCCGCAGGAGGAGTCTGCTTCAGTGAGCTGACGGTGAGGTCGGTCCGAAGTGAGGTCAAGGTGGGAAGTGGTTGAAGAGCGGTGGTTTATGTCGACTTGTTGATAACGATGGTGAGAGTGAAGTCCTGCACCCCAGACCTGTCAAACTGCCCTAAAATTGCAGTATGTATATTGATGTTTGTAGCAACGTAAAATGGCTGATGATATAAACATGAATGAGAACTGGAGAGGCAAGAGACACACGGCACGCTGACATACAGTGTAATGGATCTCCGGGAAAGACTGCGTCTTTCTCTGACGATTCCTAAAGATCTTCATTGCTCAGATCAGTTTGCTATCTGCGGTATTCTAAAGGCAAACGGTAGGCCGAAAGATTGTTTTGAGTGTTAGTGCACCATCGCATTTTTATGGTGGATGATCGGGCAAACCGATCAAAGACGCAAAATAATGACGCTTAGTTTTGCATGATCTTTGTGAAATGCATGCCGGATTCGTGAAAATATACATGAATTAAGCCACGTATTGCTTTGTTTTATCGTCCTGCTACCGACGGTAACGGTTGTCGAACAGAAGTTGACAATGACCAATTGGCCATCGTAGAAAAATGTTTGAGAACTGAAGGAGAGCTTTTGTTCATGAAACAGAGTTCACGCATTTATCCAAAGTTATTCCCTATGTCAGGTCAACATCTTAGCATAAACAAAGGCCTTCATCATTTTCTTATTGCATTTCACAAGGGCCACAAAAGTATCAGAGCGTATTGCAAATCATCAGCCTAATCTTCCCGTTCCGCATATCATTAGTGATCCGTTAGCCCAATCTTCCACCTAGTCGCTTACCGGTTAGATTGCAACTCAGCCGTATGACACCACGGCAATGCGTTCCAAACGCTTCCATCACGTTGCGGCCTTCTGCTCAGCCAATTCACCCGCCTGGTGCGCCGAGGCGGGGCGGCAGAGGCTGCGGCACGTACCCACCGTGTCGATGGACCGGTGCGGCCGGTCAGCGGGCCACGCGGCACCTATAAAACCGGCCTCCTCCCTGCAGTGGGCATCAGAACCATCTGACTGACTCCACTGTGCGCCCGTCTCGTCCTCAACCCGCAGTTATGAAGCTGGTGAGTGCTGCCAAAAGGAAGATAAAATGAACAGTGAATCGTGCCGCCGCTTCCACATATATTTCAGATGTTAGCGTGATGATTCACCAAAAAGGAAAAGCCTTGCGCAGTGTCCTGCGATCGCACGTGACTGACCACTGTGGCTGTGTTACAGATCGTTCTGGCGTGTCTGGCGGCCGTGGCCCTCGCCCGGCCTCAGGAGTTCTTCTCGGAGCCTGAGGCGGATTCCCTCCGTGACCGCGACCGCTACGCCGAGATCACCAGCTTCGAGAACCAGCAGACCCAGGACGGCGGCAACATCAACTCCTTCACGGCCACCAACGGCCTGGAGCGCCAGGAGGAGATCCGGCTGCAGGAGGTCCGCGTCATCAACGAGGATGGCCAGGAGGAGTACCGTCTGGTGCCCTTCTACACCGGATCCTTCAAGTACGTATACAACTTCCGCGGTAGTAAAAAGGTCATCCAACTATACATACAGTTCACCACCAGAACCTCAGCTGTGCAAAAGCTACAGGACCTGGATAACTAGCATTGAAACCTGGTGCCTACCAACTTAGTACGTGTTTCGCAATTCAGTGGCCCAACATGCAAAAGACTTTCATTCGACGGGGAAGATTGGGGAACCTAAGAGGATTTCGGATAGGCGTAGCGCCGTCATCCTGGGAATAGTGAAGTACCTCTTACCTACATTTTGTGACTTGCTTGCCTAGCGATAGGTACGATGACCAACCAGTTTGCAATCCTTCGGCTTCAAAGTCGAGGCACTTGCTCTTTGATTTTTTTTTCTTTTTTTTCTTTTCTCCTAGTTCTTTTTTCCTCTAGTGCTTATTTGGACAAAAGATATTCTGGAGAAATGTTGCTTGCGTAATTACCTACTCATCTTAGTGCTTTTTTGCTTCTGGTAATTATCTTTGTCAGTGTCCAACTAACGACGATCCTCTCTCTGCAGGTTCCCGAACCCCGACGGCACCTTCACCGAGAGGAAATACTACACCGACGAGACCGGCATCCACTTCGAGGGTGCTGACCTGCCCGTGGCGCCCCAGCCCTTCTAAGTCGACAGCTTCGCCATACTGAACATCAGCAGGCGCAGAAGCACCTACCCTCACTCAACACTTTTAGATGACATAGTCATCGTGAGTCATTACACACCAGTTGATACGGTGATCCATTACATTGTCTCCTGTGATGCAATACATGCCTGTTGTTATCGTTACCTCTGTTGTTTTTACGTCTGGTCAATGGCTATCACGTCATACGGAATGGGCACCGTCTGAGCGCCAGCATTGGCCGCCTTTGCGTCTTGAGCGTCTAAGGGTGACTTGGATGCAAATGATCGATCGGTGAAATGATGCTTAACCCTCGCCCTGGCAGGACATTTTTCATAACACGGCCTGGCAGGGGGGGGGGGTCGCATCGACCCCCCCTCGCGATTGGCTCCTATGGCACCTAGAAACACCAAATTTGGTAGGTAGGTGGGCCCCCTGGAGTTCTCGCCCCTGTGCAAATTTGGTTGCTCTAGGTCAATATTTAGGGGGGTTTTGGGGGTATAAATATAAAAATTTCGCTAAAAACAGGTCAAAAGTTTTTTGCTTATAACTTTTGATCTAATTAAGATAGCGCAAAAACAAAAGCACCAGTGAACTCAGCACGTCAAGGTGCGTCGAATGATATACTTTTTAGCCTGATTAAGTGTACTTAAAGTTTTTCTTAAATTTTAAGTAAACTTAAATTAATAAATTAAGTTCAAGTTAACCAAATTGCATCATATCGCATATCATTCGATTCGGCTGATCACCAGGAACACAATGATACCATTTTTAAGCTCTAGCGTCATTATGTGCCAAGTTATTGGCAAAAACGTCATTTGACCTCAGTTGACCTCATTTGACCTGACCCATGGATAAGTACACCAAACAAAGAAGCACCAAGTGACCTGCTGTTAAGCACTGTGGTTTCAAAGCACAAAAGTGATAGAACGAAGCGGATATCTCCAGTATTTTCCGAATTTAGTATTTTCCCGTAGGCTTAACATTACGACGTCATGACCTCTAACTGACCTCAGGTCAGTGACTTCAAAAAAACCCGAACTATATGTTATACAACTCGGTGAACTTAGCACATCCTGAAAGTTTGAAGGAAATCAGTTCAAAACTGTGAGTTGGACAGGTGCAAAAATAAAATTGAAATTTGACCATGACCTTGTACCGGTTTTTCTGACCTGGTGACCTGACCCAAGGTCACTCGGACCTGAAATTTTCAGGTCATATGTAAAAAGGTTGCCCCATAGGCTGTGCCAAATTTGGCGGCGCTGCGCGCCGCCGTTTTTACGCTATCTTCGAAAAACCTTAGGGGGGGTCGCATCGACCCCCTGCCAGGGCGAGGGTTAACCGCGCCCCACTGGGGGGGGGGGCTATTTATAGTCCTCCCTCCCGTTTTTCTGCAATAACTTCCAAACCGCTTGACGTATCGACGTCAAACTTTCAGTACCTTCGGCTGCATTAATTTGACACCTTGTGTCAAAATTTGAACTTCGAAGCTACCATAGGTCGGCCGGAAATGACGTCAGAGTGACGTCATGTTCGGCCGATTTCGACGCAAAACATTAAACCACAGCAATCGCTCCCAAGGGCTCAGTTTTTAAGCTAGATCCAATTTCTTTGCATGAGAGGACTCAGAATAGAATGCGCTATCAAACTGATATCTCGGATTTTCGAAATTTTGAATATTTTGAAAATTGCATATAATAAAATTCAAAATTTACATTTTTACATTTTTTTCCAAAAAGTTTATGACTTTTCGTAAAAAACGGAATATATGTGATAGAACGCGTTATTATGACTAACTCTAGCAAGTTTTAGCTAAATATCTTCAAAAATGACCAAGTTATATGCATTATTGCAAAAAATTCACAATTATTAATCTTTCAAATCAATTTTTTCACCACGTATTTGACATCGTACGCCAATATAAATAGCACCATCGTGTTCCTGAGCTCACACTGCATCCAATAGACACCTTTTCTATTGAAAAATTATAACTTCAAAATTTGACCTTTTTTGACCTGAAAGTGACCTGACCTAAGCTAAATTCAACTCAAAATGACCTCGAATGACACAGACGACATCAAATTCGAAATCTTTGGCCTAAATGGACCATAAAACATGTGTCACGTGATCGACGCGTAATATAATATTTTCGTGACCTGTGATGACCTGACCTTGACCTGAAAATCAAAGTACAAGTTTGGTACCCTCAGGGTATCTAGAGCATCTGTTCACGAGTGTGTGAACCAAAAATGAGACTGATCTGACCTGTAAGACGGCGGCCAGAGCCCAAAACGTTAACAAGCCAAAATGCTAATAATTTTTACTTTGACCTGACCTTTGACGTCATCGGTGACCTCGAGGTCAATGAAATTAGGTTTCGCTCAACAGTTTTTCCGGGGCTATCAGACGCTGTTTGAATTTTGACGATCGGCCCAGTAGTTTCGGAGTTAGGAGGGGGGGGGGGGCTATGAATAGCCCCCTCCCCCAGTGGGGCGTGTTATACGCAGACCCCAGTGGAGCGCGGGTTAATCGAGATTAGGTCCCACCTGGCCGGTTCAAAGCTTTGGGAAGGGTCCCCAGGACGTTATTATTATTATTATTGCTCGGAACGCTGATGGCGATAGTACATAAGCTAAATGTTGACGCACCTGACTTTTGATTTGAGCCGGATCTTGTGACGTCAACGGCATCTTCAGTTCAGGTCAGGCCACTTCTTATGAGGTCATGACTCACAAGGCACTAGTGGCCTCATAAGTGAGCAAAAGTGCTGCAACGTCCTTAATCACGCAGTGCCAGAGGGCCTTTCGAATGGAGATGAAACTTGCGGAGCTCGGCAAACTCTCAAACCCTCTCATTTTTTTTATTTTTCATAAAGATCACCTGAGGTCAGGTCAGTCACTTGACAGTTGACCTCACCATTGTAAGTCAATGGTGGAAATATGGGAACTATTAGTTTGGCGCGAGAAATGATCTAGAATCTTCTCAGGAGTATGGAACCATGTTTGCATACACTCCTTGCAAGCAGGACTTGAAACAATTTTGCTACGTCATAAATGATGTCACTCACTATGGTTATCGGAATTGTTCGTCAAAAGCTAACAGACTACATAAATGTGCTAGCGAGTCGGGAAAGCCATCAATGGACTCAGGAAGACTTGCCGAAGAGCTATGCAGCGTGGCTTCCTTGGACTAACTTTGTGACTTGAGTGGCTTTGACTAGACATTGACCAGACGTAAACATCACAAGCTGACTTCACCCAAACACAAATTGTAAGTACCATTTGACGCGCTTGACCATGATGAACACGACGGTGTCAAAATCGCTGTCCTGCGACCATTTTTCGGTCAAATTATTCACCAAATATTGAGCCCCCACCTAGGAACACTTGACCTGACCTCAAAGGTCACCGGTTGACCTTCAACGTACAATCTGCACCAGTTTATTTTACCCTTTGGGTATAGATAGGTGTTTTTTAATGCAGTTGTTCGGCAAATACAATAAGGCTTCGGCTACTAATACTTTTTTACACATCCCACTTGTGGCAGGGTGGGATGTCTGGGAAGCCTTCCCTCCTGTCCTTAACGTATTTCTGTAACATCTAATTACCACTTCTGACTTCTCACTGGTTGCTTCACCAGTGACTGGAGCACTGAGCCTCGGCATCCGGCATACCATTAGTCGGTATAATATACAAAGTACATGTGTCTGCGTCGTCTGATGTGGTAGCTTGACTTGTCGGCACTTCTGCCAACTGGCTATGTTCCAATGGTATGCTTTCGCGCTAGTTTTCCCGTTTACTTGTACCCCATAACATCCTTGCGATGAACTGCGCTAAATGGCGGCCTTATCTCACCCTGCATGCTATTCTGTCGGACACCACAACGAACAGTCACAAGTAATAACAATAAACATGTATTGCTTCACATGAACAAGTAATGGGATCACCACGCCGTTTGATCGCTGAGTGCTGACACTTGCCACGAGATAATCGTTATCGTTTTGTGGGCTGGCTGGCGAAAGCGGAGTGAGAATGGTGCGGATGAAATGGTGAGTGTCGATTTAGAAGGCCTGCAGGGACGCCGCTCTAGAAGGCCTGGGGCGCCACGGGCAGGTCGTCGCCCTCGAAGTGGATGCCGGTCTCGTCGGTGTAGTACCGCCGGGTCGTGAAGGTGCCGTCGGGGTTCGGGAACCTGCAGAAAAATGAAATTGTGTGTTAGACGACTTTGCAACGGATGCTGCAGTTGTGGACCGTAAATAATGGGCTCACACGATCTACTCGTAGGTCTGCTAAAGCTTCTAGGCTGCGTGACTTCTAAACTTTTTATCTTGAAAAGATCAATTACCACTCGAGGCCCGCGCAAGCGGGAAGCACCATTGAGAGGGACGCAAATGTATTGGAAAGAAAGTAAAATAAACGGTAAAGCAGCAAAGGACATTTAGCTATCTTGACAAGTATCCAAGTCCTTACGCTGTCGTCGCCAAGTTATTCGTTCAAGATTCATTAACGAAGATATCCACTTACGTGAAGGACCCGGTGTAGAAGGGCACGAGGCGGAGCTCTTCCTGCCCATCGTCGTTGATGACGCGGACCTCCTGCAGCCGGATCTCCTCCTGGCGCTCCAGGCCGTTGGTGGCCGTGAACGAATTGACGTTGCCGCCGTCCTGGGTCTGCTGGTTCTCGAAGCTGGTGATCTCGGCGAAACGGTCGCGGTCGCGGATGGCCTCCCTCTCGGCGTCAGAGAAGAACTCCTGAGGCCGGGCGAGGGCCACGGCAGCCAGACACGCCAGAACGAGCTGCCGACAGCAAGGGTTGTTCCAATTAAAGGGCCTATCCCACCCTCTAAAATGTTGTTAAAACCAGTTAAATTGTGCCCGACTTTATAGATTGGATGACCAGGAACACGGTTCTGGCATTTATTTTTCATTAAACATCTTAGGCTTCCCATATTCCAAACACAAACTTTCAAATATGTGACGTCACAGCCCAAAATTACCTCCTTCCCCATGCCACATTACTGTCATAAAGCTGATTCTTTTTACTCTGTAGGCACCACAACAAAGTTCAGACCAAGTTTTAAGCGATTTTTCAACGAACAAACCCATTTAAATCAGAATGACTAAACGAGGTGACGTCACACTATAACGGTCGCTCCATCTTGAAGATAGGGCCTAGCACAAGGCCCATTTTCAAATGAAGGGAACGAATTTCCTCAACACCAAGAGGCCGCGGGGGTTGCAACCTAGATAGATAGTGGTTTCTGAACCTCGCCGCAAACTTGGCTATCTCAACTCAAACCCCATGTTAAAGGTGGGATAGTCCCTTTAACATCATGTTGCAAGTGGAGAAGTTTCAGTGAGAATTATGGCTGTCGAGAGTAGTATTTTTTTTTATAAGACTTGCGTATCGAATAAATTGGAGAATTTGGAAAGCTGTCTGAGTTTTTCTTTCGCGATACTTTTTTTGTTTACCTTCTGCTAAAATGGATTATATCAAAATAACTATTGATGTCTATTCAGTGCAATTTGACGAAAAAATGTGAAAATATTTTCAAAATCAATTTTCACGTATTCGTCTTGCACGTGAATATGTAGCAAAAAATCACTTTGTCTGACTGTAGCCACAAACCACTGTGAGGATTTCGAGAGGTCACTTGTTCAAAATATTTCCAATCACTCACCAGCTTCATGACACGGTCAATGTCTGAGATGGGCAGCAAACACACACACGTGGACTCCTGGACAGCACTGGTGGCTGCCTGGGCGGACAGTCCGGTTTTATAGGAGCGGTGGAACCATCTCCACTGAGCCGCCATACCGGTCAGTCGGGGTACAGTCCCCCTACCGGCCCCATCCAGCTGTCACGCAGTGCGCGGACGGACGAACCGACCGCGCATTCACAATTACTATTCATGTCACACTGCGGCGATCTAGAGTGTGTAGTACACGGCGTGGAGGCCGGGAACCAGCGTGATATTGTCCCGTCGCGTGGGTGCGGACTGCGGAGTAAGATCCGATGCACATGGCGCCATTCAATCTGCAGAGTGCATTCCACTCAAGGCTGGCATTGAACATTCTCTTAGACGTCAGTCGTCATCACCATTCGATATCTGTGCTCATTTTTACCGCTGTCAGCATGCGGTAAGTGATAAACATAAGCACATCATTGAATACTTATGAATGAGGCATGGTAAATTGTTGGTTATGGCCTGCTTTTAAAAATTAGCTCGCGCCCTACGAGAAGGTTGAACAGCCCCTTGCGATTTTCCACGAGTATTTTACAATCGCTGGCGCAGCGTGCAACACCTTTTGCAGTCCTTATCGGACGCCTTTTTTACACATGTTATTAGATTTTCAGACCCAGATCGTTCAAGGTCAGGTCCCCAGGTCAAATTAAGTGACCTCACCCTAGGGAAAGTTATATATAGGTTCGACATTGCCACACAAACAGAATAATCGTTTTGCAACGTTCAGTGATTGATGAGGGAATTACGTACCTATAGATTGTACAAAAAGTTTATCTCAAAATTTGATATCTGAGACCTGACATTAGATCAGTTTTGTGGTCCTTTCATTAGTCTGCGTCCGGCGCGGGGGGGAGGGAAACCCCCTTGCGGTTTTTCGCGAATATCTAAGGAAGGGATGCGATGCGCCGCCGTTCTTGGAACACATGCATATTTCCTTCACAAGTTAACAATTGAGACCCAGATCTTTCAATGTAGGTCACCAGCTGGACACCAGGTCACGCCAAGTGACCTCAACTCAGAAAAAAAGATAATGCTCGCTAAAGCTAAGTACACCAACTGAACGATCGCTTTGACCCTTTCGGCGATTGGTGAAGCAAGATTAGGTATAAACTATGTGTCTAAGGTTCAGTCGATTTTGTATCCTGTCAATCAGTCAATTGTAGAGCATTGAACTGCTTTTCTTTTGGAAGAAAGCCATACTAAACACTCTCAAACATCGGGTTATAGGTAGACATGACACATTGAACCGGTACATATAGCACTCACTGAAAACAAGTTGAAAGAACGTAATGCAAAAGCATCTTAAAATATTCCACACTTAGGTTTTTTGGGTATTAGGGTAAACTGGCTTAGAGGCGAAGCAGAACGTCTGGTTCATGAAGAACACACACAGTGTTTCACATAGACCGAAGACACGTGCTGCTTCTTCGCGTGCAGTCTTAGCGGCCCCAGGGGACTTCAACTCGACCAACACCGATTCTTCTTCGTTCTCCCTAGTCACGTGATATTACGTCACACAAAGCGCGCGAAAGATAAACCCTCGGAAGGTTTTGCACGAACTAGCATCGGGTTTAAGAAGAAGGGGTTGTGGTTTGATCAGTGTAATGGCTTTCATCAAGACCACGCCCGCGGTACCACGTTCTAGCGTCCACCGGAAGCGATCGCCATTTTTCAATCGCGTTGGATCACGCTTTGTGCAGTGGCGAGCGGCTGGTGCAAGATTGGGTGAATGGCAAGTAATCGAATATTGAAGAACTGAAATAAGGATAATTTTTGGCTTGTCAAGTGTTGTGTATTATCTATATTACTTGTTATTGACAATGATAAGCAATATCACAACGCTCTTCAAATGCATGGATGAATGCATTGGATGAAGAAATTTCATATGCAAGACCAATCAATGCAGTAAGTATTTATATGTTGTATAAATGCCCCATAGCTTAAATTATGCATGTGTTATTTAGACAAATCTTCCAAATGAAGATAAATCAGGAATAGAATCAGCTTGCAATTTTGGGGTCAACTGGTTTAGGTATAAATTTGGCAGATTTTAATAAACATATGTTCTTGCTGATTAGTGCAATATTTTATCTAGCTGCACTTTATATGTTAAGTGCATTATTTTATTTTTGGAGTAGGCTCATGGTCTCTGAAGTCAATCTAAGTTTCTTTACTCCCTGCCTGTTGAATAACGCATCCGCCCGACTCTTCATTCTAGGGGACGAGGCCATCTGATTGAGGCCCTGGAGTCTGAGGAGAGCGTCCTGGCGCGCGGAGACGTCGACATCGTCGAAAACGCTGGCTTGAAGCTGATGGTGGAAGGAGAAACTGTATGTGATTTGGGAGAATGCGATATCGCCACCCTGCTGCTGACATGGGCGATAGCGCATACTGTGTTTGGGAAAACATCAACTTGCTAAAGCTAAAAATGTGTTCATATTTGTACAGAAAGCAACCCTGAGCGTGAAGGAATCAACCTGAATAATTAGACATACCCGAAAGGCTCTGCAGTTATTTGGCTTGGATGTGTAAGACAAGTGACACGGCCGAGGGGAAAGCGTTCCTGCAGGCTGATTGCGGGCTGATCGTAGGCTGAATGCGGGTTGGTTGCGGGCTGATCGCATGGGCTGGTTGTGGGCTGGTTGTTCCTGACTCGAGACTTGCAGGCTGATTGCTCAGAGTAAAGAGGAAGGTAATACATTTTAAGGTATATCAAATACTGTGTTTGCGCAGCAGATGTGACGGCGCAGGTCGATGGCAATGCATGGGAGGTTCAATAGACGAATGAACGGGGATTTTGCGGTATTGCAATAGAACTGAAAGGGTTCTACAACCGATATTCAGAACACAGGGTGGTTTCCCTATAAACCTCAGGGACCTCTTCACAGACCCTTTGGGGTTCTTATCTAGGTGCTAAGAACGCTCTTATTATAAACCCTAAACCTCATAAGAGTCTTTGGAAGAATCGTGTGGATTCCTTTGATGAGAATGCAAAGCCGTCTACGTGAAGAACCATGGGGGTTCTGAAAAACGGTGGCATAACATTTTACCCCACAGGGGTCTAAATACCCTTGTACGTTCTTAACGTTCTTCCAAAGTGTTTTCAGTGCTCATAAGCACTTCTTATGTCCCTGAGGTCATTCAGGTAATGAAAGATCTGCAGCATTTTTTTTTTCGATAGTGATTTTTGTTAGAGCCATATGCTGATGTGCTGCAGTTAGGCCTTATGGCCCATTTTATCCTGGCAAGAGCCGAAGCCAAATTGTGCATTTGGGGTTTTCTACGACGTCATGTCTGACGTCACTGAGTCCATTTGAGGTTATTTTTTCAATAATACCCGATTATGTTTTTTTTTTGCTAGTCAAAATAGTTACAGCTGAAGTTATAGTAAGCTGCCAAGTCCAATACTATCGAACTCGACCTCCTAAGATGAGTCTCCTCTTGAACTGGACAGATTTGACCTTTTATTGGCCTTAGGTCAGTGCACATCAGCTTTTTATAACAACGGTTAATCAAGCAATGTAGCTGGATATCACAAACGTACGGCACCAAAATCGCATGCTGACCTGGGACCGGTCATCTGACCTTACATGTCACCAGGTGACCTGATAACTTTTAGTTCGGTACCAGCCATTCGTGTTCTGGTCTACTCGTATTTCTTCTGCACGTCGGCAATAAATACAACCGAAACGGCTTTGGCAGTGGATTATACCGCTGTTTCCCATTGACTTTGTTGAAAAACAACGGGGCTCGGTGAAGGGCCAATGCCAACTTGTCCATTTTGGAGACAGATATTACATAAAAATGCGTTGCAGGTGGCAGGAAAGTGGCTTTTTCTAACCCTCGCTGCTCTTTATGACAAAACGCAAAGCGTTACGGGCCAGTTATTAGAGCAATGCTGTGTAGCTATCCCTTCTACTTGCGTGGCCCCTCGACGCCCATCTCAATATCTTCGATCCCATTGTTTCGCAATGCCTCAAACAGAGCAAATCACGTCGATATAACAATGTATTACAGCACAATGGACAATACCGTCTTATCACAACAACGCGAGCCGAGCTTTCGAGACGGGCCGCCGCGACGGGACGGCGTGACTTGACATGAGTACAGACTGAGTGATGAGGATGGTCGGAGGGCGGGCTGGGACGCCGCTCTAGAAGGCCTGGGGCGCCACGGGCAGGTCGTCGCCCTCGAAGTGGATGCCGGTCTCATCGGTGTAGTACCGCCGGGTCGTGAAGGTGCCGTCGGGGTTCGGGAACCTGCGGAAAAATGAAACTTGTTAGAATAGTCTGTAGGTGGACGGTGTCACAAGGGTTGGGGAGATCGGACAGATGTTCCACATTGTCGTCTGCACATAACTGAAGCTGGTAATGAACTGTTTTGTCAATGGATGGACCGTAGCTGAGCTTGAAACGACGCTGGAGCTCATTTAGTCGCACCGATTTGCATCGAAGCATCAATATTTGCAAGAAGCTCTAACTTCTCTTATTGGAGCCCCAGGTAGTTGAGCTACGAAAGTGTAGCACTACGGGGCTACGAGGAACTCATTTGTCTATTGCAGCTATCGCAACGCATAATGATTCGCGTTCGCATCACATGCCAAAGTCCGGCGACTCACTTGAACTCGCCGGTGTAGAAGGGCACCAGGCGGAACTCCTCGTCTCCGTTCTCGTTGATGACGCGGACCTCCTGCAGCCGGATCTCCTCCTGGCGCTCGATGCCGTTGGTGGCCGTGAACGAGTGCACGTTGCCGCCGTCCTGGGTCTGCTCGTTCTGGTAGCTGGTGATCTCGGCGTTACGGTCGCGGTCGCGCAGGGCCTCCAGCTCGGGGTCGGCGGAGAACTCCTGAGGCCGGGCGAGGGCCACGGCCGCCAGACACACCAGAACGATCTGGGGGAGCGGGGCGCTCGGTCAGCTTCTGAAAGCTCGCACACTTACTGTCTGTAATTTTGAAGTTGGTAGACAGCTGCTACAGACCATTGTGCCATTTGATCGCCCTTTGTGCATTAGCTGTATACTGAAGCATCCAGAGACCACTTCACTAGTAAATCACGCTTGATTGTTTTTTTTTCGTATAAGATAGGCAGGCATACCAAGCCTGTACAGACCCCAATCAATGAACCAGCTGAGATAAAAGTGAATGCTGTGTTTTGGTCTAATGTGCTTACGTGGAACATAATATTACAAAATAATCTAGACTTATATGACAACAGATAATTGCTCAGTTCACTCAGATAACTGCTACTTTTATTATGAACAAGCGCAAGCAGTACCACTATGGGTGTCCTGGTTCCCATGACATTCAACTGAAAATGTTTCAGGCAAAAAGGATTCGCAGTTAGAATATTACAAGGTTTCTGGTGCCAAAGCCTCCGAAGAGATCAGCAATGCAATTTATTTTGCCATAATGCAATGTAAAAGAGAATCACGCTTGACAATAGAACAGCTCCTGAAGTTATGAATTTTACACATTTCGAGAACCTGCTAAAACTTTCCGAAAGCAGCAAAGGAGATATGTGAGACATTTGGAACATCTTAGTGGGGTAAGGGATCTTTATGAACCGTATGAGCACATCACTTTATGCGTGCTATATCATATTGAAGCATCTGATCGTACTGACGCCTCTGACACATTGAGAGCTCGGCACTTACCAGCTTCATGACTTGAGACGGTGAGAATATCACACAGGCACACACACTGTCCGATCCGTGATGGCACTGCCCCTCTGACCACGGGTGGGGCCTTTATACGTGAGACGGCGCCGGGACGGGACGAGCCGGGCCGAGCGCCCTCCACACCTGGCGGTCAGACGCACCTTTCACCTCCGCCCTGTGATGTCGCCGCCGGCGCCGCCTCAGCCCAGAAGATTGGCTCTCGGGACGCTTCCAGGGTCACCGGGGCAGGGCACCGGCTGGTGTCAGCTGTGACCCATTCACAATTCAGTGGAACTGGTATAGAACATACCTCCCATAGCGACAGGTCGCGCAATATTGCACCGATCTGCATCAACATCACTTCCTAACTTATGTATGATTGCATGTGTGCATCCATGTATGAATAAATGCACCACAGGTTCACCCCTCTCGACAAGGTTGTGATGCGGATGCCCGATTAGAAATGATAACAGCGCTCACGGGTACATAATACACGAAACATCAAATGTTTAGGTCGTATAAAGTGGTCATTTGAGGTGACTTAGTTAGGGACATTAACCCGCGCCCCGCTGGGCTATTCAGCCATACGCGCCCTGCTGGGGGGGGGGGGGGCAGATTCTGCCCCCCCTGTCTAACTTCCGAACCGATGGTCGTAGAAAGACGGGGAAAACGGCAATCGAAAGCTCTCAACAAGGCGGATCTTAAGAGCCCAATTTTTTTTGCTTAAGTAGGTCAGAGGTCAGGTCAAGGTCAGGTCAAGGGTACAAGATGCAAGTTTCTACAGTATCGGCCTTGCACCGTAGTTGCCGAAGAATGGAGTGAGACTGATTGCCCAAAACGTGTTCTTAGACTACCAAGACAATATTCGTTGCATACAATGTCATTCAAAGGTCAAGGTCAAGGTCAGGTCAGGTCATGTCAGGTCACCAAAAACAAAATATAGAAAAGGGCATGTGCGACATATGTTTTATGGGTCATTTTACTCATAGAATTCAATAGGCGCACTCAATAAGTGATATGGACCACCTCTGGATGAATTTCAGGTCGAGGTCAGGTCAAGGTCAGGTCAAGTGAGGTCAAATTTTGAAGTTGGTTGTTAAGGCCTAAAAAGGTGTCTATCTGATGCAGTTTTTCACGGGGAATCGAATGGTGCTATTTTTGTTTCCGTACGAGGTCCAGAACTTCAAAAAAATCATTTTTCAAAATTTTTTCTGTCGTGACGTCATAAAATTTTAAATAACTCCCACATTTTTGAACCGATTCTTCTAAAAATTGGTATGTAGGTGCACATAGACCACTTCTTTGACATATATTCCGGTTTTTTCGATACACTCAAAATTTTGGATTTTATAAATATTTTCCAAAAAAGGCAGTTTTTTTAAATTTGGGCCAAAATCCAAAATTTTCAAAAAACCGAGACAGCCATTTGATAGACAAAGTAGAATCACGTATAACCTTTTTTGTTACGTCTTGATTCCTTTACAAATGAAGATGTTAGCGGCGTTTGAAATTTTGCCATTTTTGAGGCGAAAATGGCGAACATGACGTCACTAAAACGTCAATTTCTCCAAAATTTTCTGACGGATTTCACTCAAATTTTCAGGGAACGTGTCAAATTGATGTATGATAAGGTACTGAAAGTTTGACGTCGCTGGCGTAACGCGTTTAGAAGTTATTGGTGAAAAACGGGAGGGGGGGGCAGATTCTGCCCCCCCCCCCCAGCGGGGCGCGGGTTAACCGCGCAACGACGGGGGAGGGGGTGGATACCCACCTCCTGAGATTTTCTTTTTAGAGATAAAGACAAATTACGAGCACGATTGTATAGAGTTTGACCTAGAGAAAAATATAAAAATAGTTTTGATGACCTGAGGTCAGAAGTCAGGTCAACGACCCCGAAATGCGGTTTTAGTTTTTCGCAAATAACTTCGACAAAAATGGTCCTAGAGCTACGCCAGTGGTACCATCGCATTTGCCTTGTCAAGCCGCGTCGAATGATATACCTATATTTGGTTTGGAAAAGTCAAATTTTATCTTGACCTCATGTGACCTCGAATGACCTTTGGTTGACCTTGACACATGAAAGGTCGTTTATGATGAATTTGTACCCGCTGATCACGAATATGGCATCTATTTTCCTCTAAGCCCTCATTTAGAGCTTCCGGATGGCAAAATTGTCTTATTTATTATTAGGCACCTACTAACATAAATCAGTGAAATAGCCTTTAGCAAGGATAATCTTCTGTGACCTTGACCTTTGAGCAGCCTTGTATCGTAAGATGAACCACAAATAGGGAACTGATAAGCCTCAAAACATTTTAAATCATTTTGGAAGTTAGCACGCAAGATGTGCGAAAAAGTGCAAAGTTTGAGGTCAATTTTGGGCGTGAATTTGACCTTGACCTTTAATTTTGAGCACTTTTTTGGAATCCTCAGATTCTCTTCTTTCGTTTGACTTCCAATTTTGCCAGTTTGATGCGTCCTGCCGTCCTCTAGAAGGCTTAATTTGTGATCACTACACATGATCTGGTTTTTGCCTTTGACCTTGACCTCTGACCTTGAAAATAGACCTGAGGTCAAATATTTTAGGTGCCTTAGCCCTCGCCGAACCTATTGGTTTTCTACATACGCGCCGGCCGAGGGGAGGGGGCGGGAACGACCCCCCTCGCCGTTTCGCCCCTGGTGGAGCTAGCGCGTCGCGGAAAAAACGAGCGGATGTGCCGTTACGAGACGCAGAGATTGGTACCCAATTTTAAGGTCCTAGGTCAACCGGTGACCTCTGAGGTCAGGTCAAGTGCCCCAAGGTACGGTTCAGTTTTTGGTGAATAACTTCGCAAAAACGGCCGCAGAGCAGCCATTTTGGCAGCATCGTGTTCGCCTCGCTCAGGCGCGTCGAATGATATACTTTTTGTTCGGGTCAGGTCAACTTAGGGTGTTGACCTCAGGTCAAGGTCAGGTCAGCACCCCAGGTCACGAAGTTGGTCGAAAGAGGTCATGTCGCATATCATTCGATTCGGCAGGTCTTCCTGAGTTCATTGGTGGCTTTTTCGACTCGCTAGCTCAATTTGATCGGGAGTTATTGACGAAAAACTAATATGACCTTGATGACGTCATAAATGACGTCACGCAAGGTCAATATTGCAAAAGTGACGCACCTAACCTTGCAAGGAGTGCATCAAATCACGATTATGTGTGCTTGAGATAGTTGGAGATCGTTCCCGGCGCCAGAATACTCAGTATAATAACAGTTTTCATTTTTCCCCATTGACTTATAATGGTGAGGTCACGAAAATGACCTGACCTCATATGACCTTTAGGAAAAATCCGAGATATACAAGTTGTGGGACTCATAATGGATACTAGATCCTGCAAGTTTCATTTCACTGTGACATCTCCTCTAGCAGTTAGGGCGTTGCCAAGTTGCGACATCTGAAGACCGTGCAGAGGATCACTTATGACGTCATAGGTCAGTGACCTGACCTGACCCAAAAATGCGGTTGGTGTCAAAAGATGCGGCTTGGATCAAAGGTCAGGTATTCTAAGTTTCAGCTCTCTATCGCCAACGTGCTCGGAGCTATCGCGAAAAAACCCTATGGGGGGGGGCACCCCCCTCGGCCGGCGAGAGTTAATTACCTGATATTAATTATTAACTCATGGGTTTACGTAGTTGTCTTGGGTGCAATTATTCAATTCAGTGTGCCATATTTAGGTGCCTGTATCCTGATCTCTGAGAAAGTTTATTAGGTACTACCTTCGTGCAAAAGAAAGCAATTGAATTTTCTCAAAGTGACTTTTATAATAGAGAAGTCGCAAAAACATGACCTTAGATCAACGAATGTATTTGTAATTATATTTAATTGGTTGGTAGCTGTAAGTGTCTGGTAGATCTAGACAAATGTATATAATGCTGTTTTTTTTTACTGGCTCCAGATGGAGTCTGTGTACCGCTCTCGCCGTCCGCAGCATGCCAGGAGTACCCCGGCGTCACCTGTGCCGTGCACGAGACGAGCTCCAGCACCATCTAGCGGCAGTCATCCGAAGCTCCCAGCCCGCCGTAGAGCCCCTGATCCACAGCCCGTATCGATGACCGAAGTTAGTAAATTGCTATGAAACTAAACCGCATCCGGGAAGTGAATAATTGACACGAAACATGTTAATCCTCGCCGGCTCAGCCAATTTTGAGTCCTTCGACGGCACAAGGGGGGGGGGGGGTGGTACGACCCCCCCCTCGCGTTTGGCCCCTGATCGAGCTAGAGCTTCGCGGAAAAAACGAGCGTGTTGCCCGTCACGAGAGGAAGCCGATGATACCCAATTTTAAGGTCCTAGGTCATCGGGTGAACTTCCAGGTCAGGTCAATGACCCGAAAACCGGGAAAATCGGGACCTGTTAGAAAGTCGTAAAGTGTAGCTGCTATGTGGTTTTCCGGGGTGCTGATCACGAATATCGTGTTAGTTTTGATCATAGATGATGTCTTTAAGCATTTAGACCAGGTCGGGTCAGGTCAGGTCAGGTCAACCGGTAGGGGTTGTGACGGGTATTCGTAATACGTGTCAACCGCCTCTGACAGCTTCGTAACATGTTACGAAGGCACCAAAACTACTTCGTAAATGTTCAAATGGTTGCTAAATTCGAATTCAGCTCCAAAAACTAGCCTAGAAACATGTAAAACTCGAAAAAGTGAACCGAGGTCACCCGAGGTCACCAAAGGTCAGTGACCTGACCTGACCTTCAGGTGACCTTGACACCCACCCTAATGCATGGGAGCAACATTAAATCACATGTTTGAACGTTTGAAACCACGAAAAGCTTGCAAACGCGCGGATAATGCGAGCGGACATGCGCCGAACCGCGATTTCGGCCAAACATGGTCACAGAAAAGAGGTCACAGGTCAAAGGTCATTGGGGTCAGGGTCATGAAATTTTCAGGGTAGGTGTAAAATTGATCAATGCGAGGGTACTGAAAGTTTCGTCGCGATCGGCCGCTTTTTACACGAGTTATTTGCGAAAAACCTTAGGGGGGGGGGGTTGCATCAACCCCCTCCCTGTGCCGGCGAGGGTTAAAGCGAATAACTTAGCCGTTTTTGAAGATTTCAGGCAGAACTTTCTATATAATTGTAATCAGTATATGTGTTTCATCGCACATGATAAGGCTAGTTCAAAAGTTAAACACTTTTAGGCTATGAATTAAAAAATATGTTTTTAAGAACTGAGCATTTATTCAGAACGTTGATTTTCCTAGATATCAAAATAAAGAGGTTCGATAGCCCTGTATATGTGTCATCTCATGCAAAGAGAGGGGTTCTTGGTTAAAAATGCCACAGCATGTAAACGTGTGGTGATAACGCTACTGGTTTTCATGATCTGGAAGATATATAAAAAAACGGTTGTGTATCGAATAATGTATACAGTTCACCAGACGCCAGAACAGCTGTATTTTCCAGATGACCTGAGACGTATTGACGTCGCAGTTGGCGGTGAGCTGAGACACCGAGAGGAGCCTGCTTTTGAATTGAGCTAGGTAAGTTGTCGCTAATACTTTGTGCACCGGTCGGATTCCGCTTATGCCTTCTTAACCCGGCAGTTGCTGGGGTATTTCGCCACCCACCGTTTGCTGGGGGGGGGGGGGGGGCGTTAAACGCCCCCAGCCGATAACTCGAGAACCAATAGGCGCAGCGAAACGCACGAGGCGGCAAACGAAAGAGCGCGACGAGACGCTTCAGATGAGTACTTTAAAGTTGAATTTTGAGGTCACAGGTCGGGTCAAGGTCAGGTCAAACACCTGAAATCGGGCTTTCAGTAGCATGGACTTCAGGACTTCGCAATGGGCGCCTCTCGCCATAAACTCTGTCAAAACGGTGCACAATCCATCTTATAAGGCCTACAAGAGTGTCAGCTCCATATAGGGGTCAGTCAAGCATAGGTCAGGGTCAAGGTCAGGTCAACCGGGTAGGCACATATCCCCGAAAATCAAAACTGATATTCGCAGCCTGTGACACATGTTTTATAGGTAATTTGGGGCGTAGAACACGATGGTGACATTCATTTTATCATATGTGTACGTTTTTGGCTCAAAAAGTTCAATTTAATAAATTCATGTATCATGGTCGTGAAGTAGTCACGAAAAATTGCCAAGATTCAGTTCAAGATTTTGGAAAATGCGGAACGATAATCAATAATCGAAGATAGCCATTTGATTGATCATGGTATTGGCAGTCTAATGGCGTTTACGGCATGTCTGTATGTCTATTCTGTGATTTTATATGATTTTTCGAACATATGCCGTTTTTGGTCGAAAACTCAGAAATCATGACGTCACTAAAACCTCGATATCTCAAAAATTTTCCGACTGATTTTTTTGAAACTTTGTCAAAATAAACTTCAATCAATTCCCTACCGGGCCCTCAAAATTTGGCGCGCCTGCGGCGCGCCGTTTTTATGCTATGGCCCGGCGAAAAAAGTGGGGGCGTTTAACGCCCCCCCCCCAGCAACTCGCGGGTTAACCCGCGCCCTGCTGGGGGGTGTTTGAACACCCCCCCTTGTGGTTTTTTGCAAATATCTCAAAAACGGCGGCGCGGAGCGCCGCCGTTTTTGGTACACCTTATCATACATCAATTCTACACATGTTGTGAAAATTTCAGACCAAGGTCATTCAAGGTCAGGTCACCAGGTCACTTGAAGTGACCTCACCTCATAAAAAGTTTCAATGTCTGTCATAGCTACATCGAGTGACCGATCGCTTTGAAACTTTCAGCGATTGCTAAGAGCAATAGCATGTACAAAATGTTTATCTCAGAATTTTGATATCGATGACCTAAGGTCAGGTCAATTTTGCGACCTCCCCATTATAAGTCAATGGGAGAAAATTGAAATGCGCCTCTTTTGGACGAAAGACATTATAAACACTCCCAAATACCGCTTTACAAGTGGTTTAGACACCCTGAACATGAAAATGGTGTCCGTGACCCTTGTTTATGCCCTGAGGTCATCTTAGGTCACGAATGGTATCTAACAGTTTTTCGCAAATAACTTTTGATAGAGGCATGCTAGAGCGATGAAAACGCCTTAGATGTGTTCAGCTCGACGATACGGATCGACTGATATGCAACATGACCCTTTCCGGTCAGGTCATGACCTTGACCTGAGGTCAAATTTTCAAGTTGACCTTTCAAGGTCAAGTTATAGTTCATTCGATGCGTCTTGACGAGAGGAACACGATGCTGGTAAAAGTAAGCTCGTACAGGGCTTAGGTCAAAAGTTATTGTAGAAAAACTGTTTCCGAAAAAAATCGTCTATTTTTGCAGTTTTTGCCCCCTGCAGGCAAAACCGTTGACGTTAGGTCAAATCTGAGAGATTTATTCAGAAAGGGCGTTAATAGGGCTATCGAATGCGCTTTTCCGCGGCGCTGTAGCTCTATTGGTTCCCGAGTTATGCGTTGGCTTCTTGGAAATTTTCGACATTCGACCTGGAAATCGGCGAAATTTTGCCTTCAATGACCTCTGGTGACCTGACCTTTGACCTGACCAAAACATTGACCGAAGTGATTTCCTCATTATTTTTGACGCTCTTTCGAACGCCGCCTTCCGCGTATCGCTACGTGGCCCAGGAGCCGAGTTACAAGGGGGGTGTTCAAACACCCCCCCCAGCAGGGCGTGGAAATCCAGGACCCCCAGCCGGGCGCGGGTTAACCCTCGCCGGCACAGGCCATTTTGCGTCCTTCGACGGCACAAAGGGGGGGGGGGGTACCCAGGGCTGCGGAGTCGGAGTCGGAGTCGGAGTCGGAGTCGGACGGAGTCGACAGTTGTGACCGGAGTCGGAGTCGGAGTCGGAGTCGATTTTAGAAACCCGAACCGGAGTCGGAGTCGGAGTCACCGAAAATCTGTCGACTCCGCAGCCCTGCTAGGTCTGCGGATTCGGAGTCGGGAGTTGGAGTCGGTCGGAGTCAACAATTCTGCCCGGAGTCGGAGTCGGAGTCGGAGCTTGTTTTTGAAAGCCGGAGTCGGAGTCGGAGTTGCCGAAAATCCATCGACTCCGCAGCCCTGGGTACGACCCCCCCCCCCTCGCGTTTGGCCCCTGATCGAGCTAGAGCTTCGCGGAAAAAACGAGCGTGTTGCCCGTCACGAGTGGAAGCCGATGATATCCAATTTTAAGGTCTTAGGTCATCGGGTGACCTTCCAGGTCAGGTCAATGACCCGAAAACCGGGAAAATCGTGACCTGTTAGAAAGTCGTAAAGTGTGGCTGCTATGTGGTTTTCCGGGGTGCTGATCACGAATATCGTGTTAGTTTTGATCAGAGATGATGTTTTTAAGCATTTATACCAGTTCGGGTCAGGTCAGGTCAGGTCAACCGGTTGGGGTTGTGACGGGTATTCGTAATACGTGTCAACCGCCTCTGACAGCTTCGTAACATGTTACGAAGGCACCAAAACTACTTCGTAAATGTTCAAATGATTGCTAAATTCGAATTCAGCTAAAAAAACTAGCCTAGAAACATGAAAAACTCGAAAAAGTGAATCGAGGTCACCCGAGGTCACCAAAGGTCAATGACCTGACCTGACCTTCAGGTGACCTTGCCACCCACCCTAATGTATGGGAGCAGCATCAAATCACATGTTTGAACGTTTGAAACCATGAAAAGCTTGCAAACGCGCGGCTAATGCGAGCCGACATACGCCGAATCGCGATTTAGGCAAAACATGGTCACGGAAAAGAGGTCACAGGTCAAAGGTCATTGGGGTCAGGGTCATGAAATTTTCAGGGAACGTGTAACATTGATCAATGCGAGGGTACTGAAAGTTTCGTTGCGATCGGCCGCTTTTTACGCGAGTTATTCGCGAAAAACCTTAGGGGGGTTGCATCAACCCCCTCCCCCCTGTGCCGGCGAGGGTTAATGGCCAAGAAAATTACAGAAATGCCTTAGCTTGCCACTGCAAACTAAAAACTGAAACATGTATTGAAAATGAAATATTGTGCATACCCCAGCAACTGCTCTGTTCTGTTATCTGCTCTAATAAGGTTATCTGCGATAAAAAACCCTGAATGGCAGGGTTAAGTTTTTCTCCAACTGTTTTCCAAATGTAACGAACTCCGGTGACCCATCCACCAGTTGCTTTCTCATTTCTCGCTCATCCTCTGGCTTCCCGATCATCCTCTGGCTTCCCGTTCATCCTCTGGCCTCCCTATCGCCCTCTCGTTTCCCTCTCGCCCTCTCGTTTCCCTCTTACCCTCTCGTTTCCCTCTCGGCCTCTCGATTCCCCCTCGGCCTCTCGATTCTCTGTGACACCGTTGCCCGTTTTCCGCAGGCTGAGCCGCGACTCACCATGCCTGACCTGCGTGCGCTGCTGATGGCGACTCTGCTGCTGGCGCTGCTCGGCTCCGCCGCTGCCTACGACGACCCGTTTATTCCCGGCCCGGAGATGGCGTCCTCCGCGGAGAAGGCCAGCGGCGCGCTGCTGCTGGTGGCCGCCGGGCTGCTGGCCGCCCTCCGTCTGCTGTGACCTCTGTGACCTCTGACTGGTCCGGCGGACTTGCCATTGACTGGCAACGCGTGGAGCGTAAGGACCTGTCGCATGATTTTGCACCTTGACAATAAAAAGGCATGAATACAAAAACATATATGAGTATGCTTTTCCTATTTCACTGATGATGTTTCAGTTACTGGTTTTTATGTCAAGCACTGGTGAACTGTGAATGTTTGAAATGTGAAAGTTACAAGGCTCAAAATGGAAAGAAACGTCAAAAGATAGCTATATTATCTCTGTCCTCTGGCACCGCCGTCAGCACCAGCGTCACCACCGCCAGCTGCCGCTGACAGCCTGGGCCGGGATTGAAATTAGGGAACCCTGTGCTGGTTCCCATCCTTTTCATGCAACGCCGTCGATTTGGACAATTTGGTACTGATCTCTGGAGGCTAAACCGTTGATCTTCTACCAAAGCTAAGAGCATTATTCAGAGGGAGCATAAGAGAGCTATCAAATGCATTTTTTTCACGGCGTTGCAGCTTTATTTGTTCCCGAGGTTAGCGTCAATTTGTCAAAAGATGTGGAAAATGCGAAATTTGACCTTCGATAACCTCAGGTGACCTGACATTTGACCTAACCTAAAAAGGCCGCAATACTTTTGTCATCATTTTCCATGCACTTACGAACAAGGCCTACAACGCGTCTCTTCGTGGCTTATGAGCTGAGTCATGGGGAAGGGCGTAAAAATGCCCCCTATTTGAATCCCACGAATAATTCAGACGCCAGCACGGCATGGGACACTCAGCTCAGTCAAATAAAAGTCAAATCGAAGTCAGTTGAATGAGAAAGCTGGTCTCATTCATTCACTGAGAAGGCGCAGAGGTTCCTATCCAGTAACACGACACCTAGGTATGTAGAGCAACATCCATAGGCAAGCCGATTATGAAGTTTGACGGTCTTTAGCAAAACAGGGTTATTTATTCAAACACTTATCAACTCGCATACCATTGTGCTCGCTGATCAAGTGCAAATAGCTGGTTGCATGTGTCTACAACACAATGTTTGAGGCGGCGGCGGCGTATGCGGCGTCCTGAGCAGCCTTGTTGGGGTCCTCGGGAGCCACCGGGATGGCGGCGCCCTCCATCACAACGCCCTCGGGGCCGGCCCGCCAGGTGATGGTGACCGGCACGTCGTTTCCGTCCTCGTCCTTGGCGACGAACGAGTAGATGCCCTGGCTGACGATGCCGACCTCCTCTCCGATCTGCTCGGGCCGTCCGGACACGTCCTGGGAGCTCTCCTGGCCCTCGCCGGCCGTCTCGTAGCCGTACTGGAAGGAGCCGTCGTCGTTCTGGACCATATCCATGCGGACGATGCCGGCGGCTCGGAGCTCCTCAGCGGGGTCGTAGGCCGGGTCCTGGGGCCGGGCGGCGGCCACGGCCAGCAGGGCGGCAATCACCAGCTGCAGAGATGAACGTGAACGCATGACATGAGTTATCGACTCGTTCGGGTAAGTACGTGATTTGATAATAAGCTTTCAAAGATGCTTGAGGAGTAGGGCTGTGCACTGTGTAGTTTATGCCAATCATGATTCTGGGCAAGGCCAAATGGACATAATGAAAACGCTGGTAGCGTTCGATCAATCCACAACTTACCAGTTTCATGTTTCAGATCCACACTGTTTGAGGCTACTGACAGATTATGATTTCCAAAACGCTTTATATACTACATGGCCAAAACTGGTTTGGCAACAGACATCTTCCTCAGTAACGCACAACGTTCCTGACCCTGACTATGTGCAGACGGCTGTCGCTTGCAGCCGGCGTATACCGACTTTCGACACCAATCAGCCCTTCAGATCTCACGGGTTCCCGCAAGAAACACCCTGCGCGCTTGGCTGATGTGCGTCCTGTCGATGACCCTCGCCGATTAGCTCGTGTCTGACGGGACTATACGGAAGTCAAACCGATTTATTATTCACGCTGCAAGCCACCGTCGTCGTTCAAAACTCTTCATGCAGCAGCATGAAAATAAGCGCTTACGCGTCTTACCACAGGTGAAAGTCGAGGTCATTAAAAAAAAAAAACTAGCCCGCACATTACTGCGTGACGCGAGTGACTGAAGGGGAGGGATAGCACCGGCTGTCAAACCCGCAGGGATATCACTGGCCGCTTTGTATTTAGTCAGCCCCGTGCACACTCCCTACGCGGAAATCCACACACACTGCACACTTATATATGTTACAGACCACATATATACACAGTGAAATAGCGTAAGCAATAGCCGTTTTCACGACGGCCATCTGGTAAGTACACATTTGGTGCATATTAGGTGTAGATTTGGTCAAATTAGTGTGTGTTTTTCTGAAAAAATTATCAGTTGGAGTTGCACATGTGCTTATTTATCTAGTTGTTCAAATTATCAGACATCATTTTTGATTAAAATACTGAAATAAACTCATTGCATGAAGATATTTATTGTATAAGAGCTTTTTATAGAAGACCTTGTAGATTTTGTCATATTAGGTGCATTCGTCAGAGGGGTGTTCACGGGCACCGCACACTGCTGCGTGCGGTGTGTGCGGTACGTCCAGCAGGCGTGGGGGTAGGGGATGAGTAGGCGGTTCTGACGTCACGGCTGCGTGTGGTGGACGGACCGCTGTGGCCAGTCCCGACCGGCCACAGCGATCGCTGTGTGCGGTGACGGAAGGCTGACGGACGCAGTGGGCAGAGCTTCGAGGCTGTGTGCGGTCCGACCGCACACGGGGCCCGTGAACAGCCCTCTGATAGCCCGTCGTGAAAATGCTAATATAAAACGTTTTTTATTGTGCAATTTGGCGCAAGGTACAGTTTTTTGTCCTCTTGGATATAGGCACATATTTTCAAGCATAGGACTTTTTCGGGTAAAAGATCATCCCTCAACAAGAGCAAACCAAACAGCTCCAAGTCTCAGCAGCAAGTGAGTAAGTAACGAAATTCATCGGCCTTGCCTAGCTGGCACCTTATCGGGTTTCCTTCTTGCTTTGCATCCCACCGGACGTCGCATGAGCCGGTTTCACGGAACATTTTATCTTGCCTTGCCACTCGAGCCTGAATTAGATAGCCGGGGTTCAAATCATGTAAAACAAAAGATCTGGCCCTGGACGGCGAGGAACTGGCCAAAATGGCGCAAAATTTGCCAACCGTCAGGCGTCAGAGACCGAATAGTAAGAATAAGAAGGTCCGCAAAATTTACCTGAGCTTCGCTCCGTCAACAGTTCCGTTAAATAAAATATGGATTTTCCATAATGCAACAGCTCCAGCGGAAAAGCTTGTTAGCTGTCAAGACCTTTTGATATTTAGGGTTTGGTTCTGTAGTGCTGATAAGGCTTCGAAGGACGCCGTTGCGGTTTAACCCGCGCCCTGCTGGGGGTCCTGGATTTCCACGCCCTGCTGGGGGGGGGGGTGTTTGAACACCCCCCCTTCTAACTCGGCTCCTGGGCCACGTAGCGATACGCGGAAGGCGGCGTTCGAAAGAGCGTCAAAAATAATGAGGAAATCACTTCGGTCAATTTTTTGGTCAGGTCAAAGGTCAGGTCACCAGAGGTCATTGAAGGCAAATTTTCGCCGATTTCCAGGTCGAATGTCGAAAATTTCCAAGAAGCCAACGCATAACTCGGGAACCAATAGAGCTACAGCGCCGCGGAAAAGCGCATTCGATAGCCCTATTAACGCCCTTTCTGAGTAATTTTCTCAGATTTGACCTAACGTCAACGGTTTTGCCTGCAGGGGGCAAAAACTGCAAAAATAGCCGATTTTTTCGGAAACAGTTTTTCTGCAATAACTTTTGACCCAAGCATTGTACGAGCTTACTTTTACCGGCATCGTGTTCCTCTCGTCAAGACGCATCGAACGAACTATAATTTGACCTTGAAAGGTCAACTTGAAAATTTGACCTCAGGTCAAGGTCATGACCTGACCGGAAAGGGTCATGTTGCATATCAGTCGATCCGTATCGTCGAGCTGAACACATCTAAGGCGTTTTCATCGCTCTAGCATGCCTCTATCAAAAGTTATTTGCGAAAAACTGTTAGATACCATTCGTGTATTGTATTGTATTGTATTGTATTACCTTCATGGACAATCCACGCGGGGCGTGGCGATTACAGTCCAGAGTCTGAGTCGGGCACAAACAAAAACATGCGGGGACAAGAAACACAGGCATACAGATTCAATCGCTGGACATTCGCTCTCTCTATATACAAACGGACGATTCAAGACAGCACACCGTACACGGATGTCGCACCTCCTTCCCCTGACACGGGTCATCGTCGGGCGGACGCCATCGCCGGACAGACTGCAGCCTTGGCCGCACGGGCGAATGGGGCGGGGCGCTGTTCGATGACACCGGGAGGCAGACTGTTTAGTAGCGCCGCGGCCCGGTAGCCGAATCGTCGCTTGCCAGTCTCGAGCCGCGAGCGTGGAAGGTGGAAAAGGTGGTCCTGTCGAGTGGACCTCTCTCGCGCGTCACTGTTATTCATGAAGATGGCAGCTAGTGCTTCGGGCTCGCCGTTGCTTATTATTTTCTGCGCAGTTACCATGGTTTTAACATCGGCCATAGCTTTTGGAGGCATCCATCCGAGTGAATCGCGGAGGCCAGAGACGTGATCGAATTTCCGGCGGCCGAATATGACCCGTGCTGCAAAGTTTAGAATTTTTTGAAGTCGGTCGAAGTTTTTCTGGGAGCCATTTCCATATACAGTGAGGCAGTACTGGACGCGCGAGATGACGAGTGCAGTCACGATCGTTTTGAGGATACCGTCTGGGAGGCAGTGTCGTGCGTGGGAGAGGCCGATCAGTACGCCCATGCAGCGGCGGCTCAGCTCGGCCACGTGTGCTTCCCAGGTGAGTGCGCCGTCGAATACAACTCCCAGGTTTCCCACCTGCGCGCACGGCAGGAGCTCAGCGTCACGGAAAGAGATTTTGAAGCGAGGCAGGTTACGTAGGTTTTGTCGGCTACCGAATACCATCAGTTGAGTTTTAGAAGCGTTGACTTTCAGGGCGTGTGCGCAGAACCATGCGTTAAGTGACTCTAGCGATGCCTCCATGCGCGAGATGAGACTCCTGATGTCGTTGCGTGGGCCGCTCACCAATATCTGGGTGTCGTCTGCGTACTGATAAGCG